ACTTATATCTATTATATTATAGATTAATACTACTAATTAATATACTTAAGCCTAGTATTATCTTACTTACTTTATCGCTAATACTTACTCCTCTATTAATCTAGTATTAAACCTAGCCTTTAAGTCCTTAATTTACTTTATTTCCCCCTTTATATACCTACTAAATAGCCTAATACTCGCAAAGTATCTTTATAAAGAGGCTTAAACTCTATATAAGAATACTCTTTAGGCTTTACCTCTTTTAGCTAAAATCTCACTAATAATTAATAAATAATCTACCCCTTAAAACCACTTTTATATCCTTAGAATCCTTATATATTTTATTAATAATTAATAGTAAATATATTAGACTATACTTAGCTTTATTAATACTTTAAAAAGCTAAAGAGTAAAATTACTTTATCGCTACCTCGCCTTAATACTTCATAAGTATTATCTTCTATATTATTTATAATTTATTACTATAAATAATAAGGCTTATCTTAATATCTATAAGCTTTATTCCTAAATATAAATATTTTATTCTTATATTATAGTTTATTACCCTTAGTTTATCTACTATATAATATATATATTAAACCTTATAATAAAGGAGATAATTAATATTAAGAAGATATATATATAAGAAAAGGAATAATAAATACCTAGCAAGTATAATAATACTTAATTTACTAAAGACCTAGATCTCTATTAGTATTAAGATAAGAATAACTTAGAAAAGACTACCCTTAAGGTAAATAAATAGCTTAGTAATACCTAAGATACTAAATTACTCTCTAGCGCTATTTTAAAGGTAAATCTCTTATCTATAATAATCTATTATAATAATCTAATTATTTTATTATTTAGGTCCACTAGCTTATAGTCTTATTTACTTAAAGCCTAAAAAATTAAAAGCTCTTTATTATTATCTAATAGTAAATCTAGGTCTAAGACTACTCTCTCCCCTAACCCCTAAAGCTACCTTAGGATATTATTACTTAATAGAATTCTATAATAATTATACTTATCTAAATATAAATATTATATCCCTCTATCTAAGAATAATTTTATTACTTCCCTAATAGTAATTACAAGCTATTAGCGATAAATTAATAATAAATTAACTTTATTATTAATATAAGTTATATATTTATATACCTTATTAATTATATTAATTAGGCCTCCCTAGATAGCATCGCGATATCCTAGACCCTACTAAAAGTAACCTCTAGGTACCTATATCTCTACTTAAATATCTTTCTTATAAAAGAAAAAAATAATATTACTAAGCTATAGATATAAATACTCTTACTTAGTATTATAGATATATTAGTAAAGTTAGATACTTATATTAGATACTTCCTTGCGGAAATACTATATTTAATTATCTTTCTTTTTACCCCGCTAGAAGAAAGTAATACCTATAATATATAATAAAGAAGACTTACCGGTATTATAAGTAATATAATAATAAAATCTCTTAAGTCCTAGATAAAGAGCGACTTTATATAAGTTTATTCTAATAATTATATATAGAGAATAAATAATATTATATCTACCTCTACTAATAAAAAGCGCTACTTATTATACTTATTTCTTAGCCCTAAAAAGGTAAATATAACTTTTATTCCTATAATCCCTCTAATTATTATATTTTATATTAATTACTATATTTTATATTAATTACTATATTTTATATTAATTATTATATTTTATATTAATTATTATATTTTATATTAATTACTATATTTTATCTTAATTATTATATTTTATATTAATTATTATATTTTATCTTAATTATTATATTTTAATAGAATTATTATTTTCTTATTTACTTATTTTTTTCCTTCTTATTTATTTCTATTACCTTTGCTTATATCTATAGCCTTACTTAATACGCCTAGCTACCTCTATAATTTATATTAACTTTTTCTAAGAGTATATATTTTTATTATTTATAATTATCTTCTTATTAACCCCCTTAGGCTTATACGACTAGGAGATACTTCTATATTTTTAGACCTATATAGCTAAGGAGCCCCACTATACTAGCTTATACTAGATAGCCTAGGATTATCTCTCTATTTAACTTAGTATTATACCTCTTAAGTATACTTAAAGTATCTATCACTTTATTTACCGCTACGAGAGATATATACTTAAGGTCTTAACTATTAAAGACTATTTTTCGCTATAGTTCTATTCCCTTTCTTTACTTACTTCTTATAACCCTCTTAATTCTAAAAAAGCTTTAAATAATCCTATAATAAATAATTAACCCTAGTAGCTTAATAAACTAAAGAAAATAACTTCTTATTTATCGCTATTAAGGCATAAACCTAAATATCTCTCCTTTTTCTTTTAATCTATTAGGCCTTTAGACTAGATAATAATTATCCCTTCCGAAGGTCTATAATATAAGGCTTAGCTATCTTAAGAAAGTATCTAAGGGTCTCTATTCCTTCTTTCTAATAGTAACCCCTCTACCTAAGGACTTAATTAATCCTTAAGGGCAATTATACCTATTAACGTAGATTCTATTACCAGCCTTATTACTCTAATTAACCCTTAACTTAAGCTAATATCTCCCTTAAAGAGCCTAATGCTAATACCTTCCCTTATACTTAGCTCACCGCTTATCTATAAGCAGAAAAAGACCTCCCTAGGTAATCCCCTCTTATAGTCTACAGGCTATTAAAGATAGTCTTAATAATAATATATTCCTAGCTAATATTATTATTAGCTTATACTTTAATTTTATAATAATTATTATATTAATTAGCCTAAATTTATTAAAGCCTATATTATTAATTTTATCTTCCCTTACTTAGCTCTATAGCTACTTAGTAATATATATATATCTATCTCGATATATATATTATTACTTAGTATCCCCCTTACGACTATAATACATTCTCCTTATCCTACTTCAGGTTATTATACTTATTAACCGCCTATTACTCTAATAATATAGCCTAAGTCTCTCATAATTATCCCTTAATTACCTTAAGCTCTAGCTCTAATATAGTAATACGACGCTATAGCTCTATAATACCGGCAGGGTTATCTAATATAATATAGCTAATTATATTAAGGTTATTAAACTTCTTCTAGGCTATTATAAGGGCTTAGGGCTATATATAATTAAAATCTAGTTATAAATACATATTTCTAAGTACTTATATATGCGGAATTATTTCGCGAAATTAAGTTCTCTCTCTAATTAGAGAATAAAGGCTAGAGCTTAATCGCCGCCTAGTAAATATTCTTATCTATAATCTAATCTAATTAATATAATCTAATTAATATAATTATATAATATACCTTATTATAGTCTTTATTCTTAAAGATATAATAAATATAGCGGTAGCTACTATCTAGAGAGATATTAATAAGAATTCTAATATAATTAGGTATATACTTATAGTAATAGCAGCAAACTATAGAACTACCTAGTCTAATAATATTACGCTAATAGCTTATTATATAAGCATATTTAAGGCAAGGCATAGGTTAAGTCTTACCCTCGCGCTAGACTAAGGTTAATTTTTATTATATCTACTCTTTATTTTATTACTTATATAGCCTAAATAAATATATTTATCTTCTTAGCGCTTAAAGAGGCTTAAAAACTCTTTATTATAATTAGGGTTATAAGTCTGGCCCTAAATGCCTAGAAGTTCGAGAGGCATTATAGCGGCTTAGTAAATATCGCGCTTATAGGATAAGAATTATAATAATTAATTTATAATAATAGGGCTATATAATAAGAGCATAGATAAGAATTACTAACCTTACGATTATAGGGAATTATAAGAAGAAAAGAAAAAACAATTAATAAGGCCCTATTTTTTATATTTTTATAACTAATTATAAGACTTATCTTAAGGCCCCGCTTAGTTACTACGCTAAGTTACCCCCGCTTAATTATCTACGCTAAGTTACTCTACTAAATTATCCTCTCCTCTGCTTTATAATAATTATTATATTAACTAAGATTATTTAATTTAACTTATATTTTATTATCTTTAAACCTATAGGTACCTAAGCCTTTTCTTATATACCTAATAATAATCTATAGGTACCTAAGGGTAGCTCTTTTAACCTAATTTAGACTATTAGGCTTTTTAGGTAACTTATTTACTAGGTACCTATGGGAATTTTAAGCCCTAATAGATATCGATATTTATTTTAATAGAAATTACGACTCTAGACCTATATTCTCTTCTAAAGTTAAATTAAGCATATAGTATTTTAAATTATCCTTCTAATATAGGATTAAGCTTAAAGTATATTTTAGTCTTCTAAGAATATTATTTTATTATTATAAAATAATATTTTAAGTAAGTCTGCTAATAGTAACCCTAAGTCATTATGAGATTAGTTACTAGTAGTATGGATCCGATTGGGTTTTAATACTCTCGCATTTATAACTGAGTTTCATGCAATTGTAGTTTATGGCTTCTTATTATTACTGCAGATAAGAAAACCCTTTTCCTTTAGTTCTCTTACCTAACTGCCTATTGGCGTTCAGAACTCATCATGTAGATATCCTGGGGCGAGCCTGTGCTAGTGTGGACGTTTAGTGAACCAACATTAAGCTGGCGGTTCTACAGGCTTCTGTGTATTGTTTCCCTCCTAACGGCTTAGTGGCTCAGTTATCTCATCGAGGGCCAGGCTTCAACTCTGACAAAGAACACATTGTTTCCCTCCTTAAGATGCGCTATGGTGTAACCTAATATTGCTTTCAGTTCTGACAAGCATTGTTTTGTCGTCCATGGGGTCCTTGTCAGAATCAGTTTTGCTCAGTGATTGCCATGGGGTGTGTTCTTCCCAGCTCATGCTGTGAAGATGTTTTTTACAATTCTAATCTTAATTCAGTAATGGTAATTGAGTAGGTTTATTCGCTTATCTAATCCTAAGAATATCCTTAGTGCCTAAGCCTATTCATCCGGGGCTCAACGCCCTCGTTCGCCACCAAAATCGCAACCTCACTCAACCAAAAGGGTTAAAGACCCTCAAAAGCTAAGCTTGGGGAAAATGAGGTACTTGGACGTCCACTTATCCTGAGTGACATTCTTGACGGGCTCCTCCTCCGTCTTCGTCGTCTCGTCCTTAGCCTTTTGTGCCTGTTCCTTGTAAACAGCCGCAGCCTTCTTCCATCTCTCCTGGATCAGCTCGCGAACAGCAGCAGCCCTATCTCTGTCAAGTCCACGAAGGGCCTCAGTGACACCCTTAACTGCCTCTGGGTTGTCCTCCATGATATGACGCCCTTCAGAGTTGACCCAGATCAGAAAGTCTGGGTCCATGCACTCTCGAGGTAGTGTGCCACATTCGGCGTCATAGGGGTCAACATAAACCCAATCTACGGTGCTGCTGTTGATGGAATCGCATATCCTACATTGTATAGGGATTCGTACACTTTTGGTGTCATTCACCTCCGGCACGACGGCTTCTGGGTGCTCCAATAGCCAACCAAGCCAGGGAGTCCAGGCGGCCGCGCGCTCATTTGTCTCAGTGCTGGTCTGCTTTGCCATTTTGCGTTTTTCAGAGAGGGTTGGGATGGTGTAGATGGTTAGCTGTTGTAAGCGGCAGGATGCTTGGTGATCAAGTTTGCTACGAGAATAAGAGCCAATTTATAGATCTATTGTCATTATTAGCTGTGGGTCTGAACAGATAGAGATATTTCTCGTTCAGTTTCTGTGTCTCTTTATCCGGGTAGTCTGCTTTCTGGGCTGCTCTGTTAGTCCATGTGTCCGTGCTTGAAGGAACTGAACAGTGCAGAACTACGGGACATTTGGCATTGATCAACGAACAACACAAACAGAGATACAAACAACCCAATTTTCAGACAGTTTTTTCCCTTCAATCACATATGGAAGTGCAAGTGTTGTGATTCAATTAACTCTAATCCGACAGAATATCACTATAGTCTCTAATTAAGATCCTTGGTTACCATTCGAAGCCATTCACTCTTTGGACCATTCGTAGCAGTTGTCTCTTCCCAGAAACTCGGAACCTCCTGATACATGACTTGGCGCTTTTCATCTCCCCCGTGTGTCAGTATCTTTGCTTTCTTCCTACCTTTTCTGGGCTCGCCAAACCTTGAGGCTACATCCCATAATCGGTGCTTGAGAGATATGCGCCTGAGTTTATAATGATCTTCCCAAACAAACTTTCCCTCGACATTGTCAAGTTCCCGAGATAGGAAGCCTTTCAGGATTTTGGTAATAATAATCAGTCCAGAATCGGGACCTCCTGTAAACGCATGAGGCTGGTTCGGCTGAGGGCAGAGGAGGATGGACACGAGTGAGTTGCCACGGCTGAGTGCCTGTCCGATTTCTTCCTATTCGCAAGTGTTAGTAAGCTTATTAGGATTGATAGAGATCTCGTACCATTTCCCCTTCAGCCGGTGCAAACTCAAAATTCCTCAATTTGGGTACGTTGTTGATCAAGGTTCTCACAGTCACCGCTGATAACCGTGGAATGGCATTTGTACCAATGTCTTCCATGGAGTTTATGCTCAAGCTTTCCAAGTTACCATGAGTAATAATGGCTCGCCACAGAGCGTCAAATAGAAGAGGACCATCATCAATGGTAACCGGGTATGGGTTTTCTTCCTTGAGCTCCAGGCAAGTCAAAGAGTCAAATGACGCAACAAACCGGACCTTGGCCTCGAATTCCATATCAGCACCCAAGTCTCCGAGATGCTGCAATGCACTTTCGCTTGACATGACCAAGGACAGCTTGCGTAGGCTTGTTGCATCCGCCTCAGCAGCCAACCGCCTGAGAAGTAGAAAGAGGCGAAGGGCACCAGTTGCTACTATTCCAATCGTCAGGTCGTCTAAGCTCATAAAGTCAACGATGTTTTCTAGCGAATCGATCAGACTCTGATTGAAACGGAGACCTGTGAGAGAGAGTGACTTCAGGGCGCTGAGGTAGACATGGTCTTGGTCGATCCAGTCAGCTTCAGAGGCCATCTCTTCCCATCCGAGAAGAAAATTTCCCAGTTGCAATGAACTCGTCTCTAAATAAAGACTGCGAAGTGTCAATGCCGAGCTGAAGAGTATAGACAAAACCACGCTGTCATGTGCAAGGGCCGCGCCAAGACTATAGTCAACCACCTTGAGATGTTGCAGATTTGTGATGTTTCTCAGAGGGTACATGCGGAAGAGCGAAGAGTGGTCTGAGAATATGCTCAAGGCTCTAAAATTTTCCATTGACGCAATGTGATCTCCCATTGATCTATGGAGGCTGTCAGTGTCTACCACGGACGCGAGTGAGAGGGGGTACCGACGGTGAAAGAGAGCCTACATCCACGATTTCGGCATTCTGCATGTTCTTAAAGGCCTCATCGAGGTATCTATTGGCAAGATACATATGTGACCGTTTTGGGGGGAGAATGCCAAAAGTCAACTGGCGAACACGAGATGCACATGCTGGTATCTCATCCTCATCGACGCCTCGCGGGAACCTGTTCTGTTGGCCCTTGTGTTGGCCTTCTCTCAACAGTTGCCTTTTCTGAGCAATGCTGAGATGTGGCTCAATGACACGTATCAACTTGTCTACATGGCCAGGAGAGTCAACAGAGAGGTGTAGATATTGTTGGATGCGTGGTTTTGTGACTTGATGATATCGTTTGCAGGTCAGGCCCAGCCTTCGTAGGGTCAATGGCTCTTGTATCTATGAAAGCATCAGCCCTATTGTAGCACATATTCTTGTGACTCCCCACGTTGTCTAGGATCAAGTCCAATATTTCTTGTGGTAAAGACGAGAGATTGGTCCTGGAACAGCCGGCTTGGGCCAAATCTAGGACTCTCCGTCTACTTGAGCTTGTCCGCCTTTCGTCATGAACGCGATCAACGGCCTCATGTTGCTGTGTGTCTGTAATGTTCTTTGTTCTCTTTGTCGCCACTTTCCTACATTTTGTACTTCTTCTTTTCGGAGGCATCTCGTAGGTACAGCGTTGCCTGAAGTCACTTTGGATTGTAATGACACAATTAGGGTGGAAATTGGCCAAAGTGTGTGGAAGAGAGAGGCTGCTTATTTCACGTGATGCTGCGCCGTATTGTGCTCTGCTGCCTGGCAACCTAGCACCGTGAGATGACCAGAAATGGCCCAAATGGGCTAGTGAGTCATCGGCCATTAGAGGCCTGTCCAATGTCATGATCTAGATCAAGCTGCAATGTCGTTTAAACCAAAGCCCGAAGAGCCTAAATCTGTTCCAGCTCTACACGCAGCTGATCTACTGTACGAGTCCACAGGCCATCAGACCAAGCAATTCGGGCCACAGCCCCAAGAACATCATCCCAGCTAAGCCTTCTCACAAGCATCGTACGGTTGATCTGACCCAGTATCCACTCTTGGTCTTGGCCTGTCTCGACCAACGCATCTATGACCAAGACCCAAAGCTCCAAATCCTCCAGGCCTGTCCAATCGAGTTTATGTGATTTGAGCAACATCGGGAGTCGTCCTTGATGATAACAGAGGATCGTGTTGCCATTCTTGTTACCTGCAAGCTTCGTGGAGGGGCCCGAGAGGAACAAGAGCGAAGCCAGGCGTAGCACCTCGTGCAGAGCCACACCATCGTCGCGGATATCCAGAAAATCATGTCGAGGCAATCTCAGCATCTTGGACACAACAAGCTGCAGTTCTTGCATCAACATTGGATCTTTAGTCCACTGTAGTTTCTCGCGGGCTGCGGTTGCAAATTCGGACATGGACTCGAGTAGGGTGCACAGATCCGAGTCATCTGGTAGTCGCTTCTGCAGTGTGCTGGCGATGGCACCAGGAGCACGCGATGCCCCTTGCTGTGGTAATGGGTCTTCAAGGGGTTCAAAAAATGATGGTGAATCGCGCATCATTGAGCCACATAAACTTGTCCTGCAGGAGTTCAACCTCAGTTACAAGAGTCAACACAGGGATATCTTACCAGATAAGTGTCATCTGCAGATAACGAGAACTAATCTTGTTGAACCCGCCACGAAGCTCAACTACTTTTCTCAACCCCTGCATGTGGATTACCCATCGGTCGAGGTTGAAGATACATATCTAGGGGTAAATTTAGACAAGCTGAAATGATAGGGAACCAAGGAATCTCACATCATAACATGCCAAGGTGATGACGACGCCGACGAGCGCATCACAGACCTGGTTGCCAATGGTGGTTAGGCGCTGGTTGATAAGACCAACTGACTTGTTGTAGTGATCCAAGGAGCTGTTGCTCTCCTCTAGTAGATGCTGCCTATGTTCTTGGGCAAAGACCAATGTCAGCGCAAGAGCAACATGCATTGCGCTGTCTTCCATCATTGCGAGAGTAAAGGAGAGCTCTCGCATCATTGAGCAGACAGGTGAGTCCCATTCACGTACTACTCGTGGTTAGTAGGTCCCTACACAGAGGGTGAGAAATGCTGTTGGGCTTACAAAAGGCGATGATCTTGTGAGCACGACCAGAAAAATGTCGATAGTTGAGCTCCTGGTCTGCGCTCATTGGTGAAGGAATACTCTGCATATATAGCCGAGAAGCGAACTCGATGTTGTCGTCTGCTTGCCAGGGCACAACAGCGGTAGACGATGGTGTTTCCACTGATTTCAGAGCAACCTCCATTTTCTCATTCTTTTGCTTCCTTCGCCTTGCCATGCCTATCGGTTTCATAACATGGCGGTTGATCTTTCTCTGGGTGTTTCGGTCTTTGATCTGGTCTGGGCGTGTGATGCTGACAAACATCAAGTCGGCTTTGGGGGCTTGACGCCCTTGAGTTGATCGTGATACCATGTTTCAATCGAATCGAATGATATTCTTGAGGAGATTTCTTTAGCCAGTAGGCATGTTAAAATAGTGTTTTATAGGAAGACGGTGCTAACGGGTGTCAGGAATGTCCATTTGTAAGCATCATCTTGGTGGGCCCACCTCGCGAAGCCGCTTGCAAGGACCAAGCGTCACATATTTAGCACAGGTAAGAAATGCAACCTTGCTTTGAATGAGATGAGATGCGATGGGCAGTTGAATTCTTGCCTATCTAGATAAACCTTCAACTAGAGATTCATCCTATAAACACGAGGTTGTCTATAAACAGGCGTATTCCAGACCTTAGTTGCTCACTCCACCGCTGACAGAAATGTACTGTCCAGTAATCCATCGAGACTTTTCAGACACAAGGAGCAGAACAGCATCACCAATATCCTCAATGGTACCAACTCTTCCAGCAGCCCTAGTGTTGTTGACGTGCTCTCGGTGCAGCTCCTCCTGAAGCTCCGGTGGGACAATGTCCGTGGCAACGGGGCCGGGGGCGACAGAGTTGACAGTGATACCATGGCTGCGGCCCCACTGCATCTTGTTAGCTCCATCCACTCACGATTCTTGGTGTCACTTACCTCCTTGGCCCACGACCAGGTAAGACTATCAAGGGCAGCCTTGGAAGCTCCATAGATGGGAATATCGGCTTGTCCAAGCTTGGAGGCGGTCGACGTGATGTTGATGACTCGGCCACCGGAGGGCATGTGAGGCACAGTAGCCTGAGCAACAAAGATGGGGCCCTTGACATTGACATCAAAGGTTCTAGTAATGTCTTCGGCCTTCATGTCGAGACTGCTACTAGCAGTGCCCCAGCCTGCATTGTTGACTAGCAGGACGTTAGTTACTTATTTTCCGCGATTCAATGAAAAAGACATACCCAGAATGTCAATGTGGTCAGTTCCGAAAGCCTTGAGGGTCTCTTGGACGAGAAACTTGGCACCCTCAGGTGTATCGACGGTAGTTTTCACAACAGCAACTCGACCTCCAATACTCGTGATTTTTTCAGCCAGAGCGTTGGCTCGCGCAGTGACTGAGTCGGAGACGTAGTTGATGGTGACGGCCGCTCCGTTTCGGGCTAGGGCGAGTGCGATTCCGGCACCGATTCCGTTCTCACGACCAGAGCCGGTGACGATGGCAACCTTGCCAGCGAGAGAGAGAGTATCGACAGCCATTGTGAATGAGGTGTTGGAGATTGAGGTAAAATGTGATTGAGTTGTTGGTGTTGTTGGTGTTGAATGCCTGTGCTGGTAAGTGTCACTGAGAAGGAGTTCATCCAGGCCTTTAATCGATCTCAAGAAGATATGCTATCGTAATCCGTCCTTGCAATTGAAGGTCTACCTGTTACCACATTAGGAAATAGGTGTTGTCTGAAGATTGCATCATCACGATATCCACCTTCAGCCTCATCGAGCCCTAGATCTCTATTGCATCGCTTTCTAATGTCTTGACGTCTTGGCCATGTCCTCCGACGCAGGGTAGGTTAACGCGTCTCTAGACACTATACCCGAAACGGAAACAGGTGACCCTGGTCGTGCAGGACGCCAGTCGATCTTCCAGGGGCTAAGATTCTCAGCATGGCTGACAAATGATGAAGCGGGCACTTCATTGTGTAATCTCTCCGTCTGTAGAGAATCGAATCGAGCAAATTCTATTCCTTCACCGCTTTAGCCGTTCTTCGGTCGAGTCGCGGAGACTTGGCGTTGTCTTTGCGTCCTGTTCGGCCACCACCATCCACCTATTCTCTCCCACGCCCTTCTTCATCAAGAAATCACGTGATAGGTCTGGTGGTCTAGTGGTATGATTCTCGCTTAGGGCAAACCCGAAAGCAAGCTTGCGAGAGGTCCCGGGTTCAATCCCCGGCCAGACCCTTTCTTTTGCCGTTTATCATGACGACTAAGTGTTTCCTTTTTGGCCTGGTTTAGTATTTTCGCGTTTTTACTACGATAAGGAATACCCAGTTGACGAATTTCCCGTCATTTAAGCTGCGAGGCCCAAGTTTATTGGGTTCATCATCGTATTCCCGCTTTGTCCTTGCGAGCAATCGCCCTGCTCGCCGTGCCCATACAATAAGACGTTTCTGTCCACCACGGCTGTCTTGCTGCCACGCAATAATCGAAGCCTCCATTTCGATTGAGCCAATGTTATCGTCTTCGAAAAAGGACACTGTCATGACCTTTGTGGCCAAATCGGGAGGACAATTATTCTGACCGTCACGAGCTTGCGGACAATGCCCCTCCACAAAGGCTTGTCTTGAACAGGGGCTTAACATCGAGCATTTACCTCATTGACCCTTCTGACTTCCTTGAAAAAGCTTTGTTGTGAGGCACCGAGTTACTGGGCCCATCTCTACTGTTCTTATACGGCTTTGTACGAGAAATGTACTTATTACTCTTGCTTTACTCGGTTCATCCGTCTTCAGTTTACAATCATTTTTGATTCCTCGACTTGCATCGTCTCCTTTACTCAAACAGACACTGCAATCACTATTCTACTACTCATCGCTCCTCATCATGGCTGAACAACGCCCTCCCACGCCGGCGACGGGCGACGACTCCTTATCTGTGGGCCCCTCCAGAAAGGCCCCGGATGCTGAGGAATGCACCCTCGTCAGTTTCTACGCCGAGACATATCCTGGCGGGCCACTGTTGCTCCATAATCTGTGGTTCCATGAGAGCTGGAGTGGTTTTGATGCGCCGCTGAACATCTTATTTGGCGAGATAGACTATAAGCCTATGGCCGTTATGCTTCCTCATGCTCCTGAGGGGACGCCGAAGAACGATTATGACTTTGAGTTCGTGCAGTTTCACGGTCCCAGGCCGGATAAGTCTGAAAGGGAACCGCCTCGTCCCAACTCCCGGGCAGGCAACCAACACGCAAATGCTAGGGTTCCCCCATTCTTTCGAGCCTCCGCTGAAAGGGTCCGCGGAATGGCCAATCGCATCCGCATTCCCACTTTCCGGCCCCCTCCCGCCCGGTGGTGGTATCACAAGTTCAAACAGTTCCTAAAAGCTGTTCTCATCCTCGTCACCATCATTGCCGTCATTTTTGCAGGTTTCAAGCTTGTTGACCATGGTCCACAGCTGCGAGAGAACATTGTATCCAAGTTTGAATCGATCACTGAATCGATCACTCAGTTGATCACCCAAGGAAGTAGTCATACTGATCATTTCAACGCTGATAGGGATGATAGCGATAATAGGGACTATTTCAACATGGGAAGAGACTATTTCGATACCGACAAGGACCCTTTCAACACCGACAAGGAGCAAGTCAAAGCCGATACGCACAATTCCGAGGCTGGTCGAGACCACTCCAGGGTTACCAAGGACCGCTCCAAGACTGCCAAGGGCCAACCCGAAACCAACAAGGGCCAATCCCAAACCAAAAAAGATAACATCAAGACGGATAAGGGCCAGCACAAGTCTGGCAAAAAAGCTGACGGCAACCATTTCCGCGGCTCCTGGACCAAGCCAGACGATACACACATCACCTTTGAGGCTTCAAAAACGTCTGAAGATCATGTAACAGAAGTAAAGTTTGTCCAATCAGAAGAGCAGTTCATCAAGGATGCAGATGACAATGTGCTCTTTTCCTTGAACAGCGTTACTCGGTTCTTTGTGACGCTCATTGGTGGTAATGAGCATGACGAGAAACTGGACAAGGTGAGTGAACTTACTGAACATGTTTGTAAAGAAGGATGCTAATATTTAAACTTAGATCATGGAAGGACTAGGGGCCGTATCCTCAAAAGGGAGTAAGAAGGCCAAGTCACGATGGTGGTGGTGGTAGGGTTGTGTGTAAGGGTGCTTGGGGTTATGATGGTCGACATAGTAATGATTGATGCACTGGGTCTGGAATCATGCATTTGCTGAGTAGTGTTTTTGGATTGGAGTTAGAGCGTTTATTTTGGGCCAAAAGCTTTGTATTTGCGGACTTGTTGTTTATATTTGACCGATACCCTGTTCCTAGACATGAATCCATATATCCCTCTAGATTGCACGTCGCATCACGTTCCTTGCAACGGAAGATTTGCTCACAGATTAATTATTCTTTTAAATGTTTCTGTGAAAGTTCTATGCTGAGACTTTTGCTCTAAAATCACACGAGACGGAATTGTATCACCGTTCCTTCAAGAGAATCTACCCATCGCTCGAGGTCATCAACTGGTGACATGTGCCCCGAAGACCCAGGCTTGGAGGCATCTAAATACCAGAGTCTCTGGAAATTCTTGGAATAGGGATCGTGTCCTAGCACCAAAGCTCCATATCCCAACCACATGATCCAAGCAGTTGCCCTAAACGATGCCGGGTATGACAAATACTCTAGGTCATCCTCGTCAAACGCCCGGAGAGTATTACCATCTTTGACAGAAAGTAAGCAATCCACGTCAAAATCTACCGAGGTCCATGGTTCCTGGTTGCCTTTGTCCCCCATAACTACAATCTCGTACTTGATCTGCTCGTGGCTTGAGCGAGTGTTATACACCAGGGTGGCTTTGAACAACGACGCCTTGATCAACAAGTGACCACCTTCAAGGCGGCCGAATGGGGCGTCCTTCGAAGTCTCGCAATGGGCCTCGAGAATCTCGGGACGAAGTCTCAAAGCTAGCACTGATAGCTCACGGTCGTGATGAAACTCTGCTCGAGCCCTCTCACTCATGGATATCCAGGACCATGTTGGAGCGAGCTTGCTACAAGGCGCTCGGATATTGCCCTTGTCGAGTCGCCGCCTCGTCCAGGATAGACCTTCCATTAGATATGTTTCCCATACCCCAGCCAAGTATCAACCACCGACAATGCCCTGAAAGCGAGACGCGATCCCACTCAGCGCTGGCAGCCGATCAGTTGTATACGTGATGGAGCGATCTGTGAACTCGGCAACGACACTCATCCACAACTCCCAAATGGCTTTTCTGTGCTCTACATTATCCTGTGACGTGTTCACGATATCAAAGAACGGCCTTGATGGTTCGTGAGTCGTGACTTTGTCCCAAACTTGGAACCCATCTTCTGACAACGTCTCAACATCACACTCCCAGGTAACATCTGAGGGGCTGAAGTGTATAACCCGAGTTGATAGGATGGATTCCTGCATTGCCCAAGCCCTGGTTGGCAGAAAGTGACGGGCTATTGGACAGTAAAAGCTAGGATGTGCTTCCTGTAGTTGTCTGTCGTAGTGTTCTCGTGCGACCAAGTATGGCGCAGAAGAAGCAGTCTGGGGCTGCCATCGCTCGTCTCTGTTTGAAAGAAACGGGGGTGTTCCGTCAGGAGAAGAGTCAACGGCGACCGTAACCCTCGCTTCAGAGTAATACTGTGCCATCTTGGCAGCTTCAACCTCCCAGTCGGACCCGTCATCCTGGATGATGCAGAGGGAGTCGATCCATATAAACTTGATACCAAGCCGCCTGCAGAGCCAGATGGAATCTTTGAAAACAGCAGAGAGACTGTCCCATAAGATTTCGGATTTCATAGACTCAATGTTTCCTTGCAAAGTTCGAATAGGACGTTTCTCGGGTGGTCCCCAGCAATGGCTCAAAGCTGCGCAAGAGCCTTGTTCATCCTCGCCGGTCTCATATAGTCGAATCTGACCGTGTTCATCACCGATGGACACCAGCCTAGTAGGCAATATTCTGTCACCCCCAGATCTGCAGTTGCGGTGACATTCATGTCCTGTCTCACAGAGGTTGAGCATTTTCTTGATGAATGATGTGAGGGACGCGTTTGTGGCTGTGCCTGAAGTGACTTGGGGGCGGCTGGTAAGCGTCGAGATTAGCCAATCATCAAGAGTTGCTCAGGCGCTCCAACAGAGGCCGCTCACCATGAAGAGGACTTGATGTCCACTCAAAGTGGCGAAAGTCGAGGTCGAAGCTCATCTTAAAGAGTGGGGGTTTGCCGTTTTAATTAAGAGGAGTGAGGCTAGTCAGCTCAATTATAAGCTTAAAATTGATCGTCTTGGCTCGTGGTTCATGATTTGATAAGTCCTGGAATAAAGTCACCAAACATCTACCAAGTATCTCTTTTGCCTCGTAGGACTACATCGGAATCATGCCTTCAGACCCCAAGCCCTGTTTTGATGATCCAGAACAGTGACGTTTCTGGCGTGATATCGCCCCCAAGGACTCATGCAGGCTGACAGGGCCTGAGACGTGTGGAGATTGTGTGAATACTTGATGCGATAAGCATGGAGAAGGATCTGGACAAGCTATAAAACCGCGATAAATTCAAGAGCGTCTCATGTATTCCATTTTCCTACTTGAGCCGATGCAGAGCTTTATCTCCAATTATATACAATTCTTTCCATGCTTCATGTTCTTATTCTAGGTACTTTAGGTAGGTAGGCATCACCCCTGTACAACCAGCAACCAACCACAGTCACTAAGCGTTGATCAGCGCGTACAGCCCCAATCCTCTGTTTCAGGGAGTATTTAGCGTAGGCTCCTCCCCACTGACCTTAATTCTTCATCCTTCATCCCAGTGGCAACATGTCGCGCCAGAATCACCTGGAGATGTCCAGTTTTGACTCTCTTTCCCTCGATAGGGATCCCTGGTTAAGAGAGGTACGTGCTCAGGTCACTCAGAATCGGTAGCAGTCAGGATACTAACTTGGTTCAGACGTCACACGAGCAAGCAAAACCGCCAGCATTTGGCTTCTCCAAGTATTCCACTCTCAGCAGTACTGCCGAGGATCCTTTCCCTCAAAGCACAACCACGCCGTCTTTTCAAGACCCGAGAGCAAGGGATGTAGTCGAAAGTACCGAGACTCTCATACAGGGTTCGACCTCTCGGGGCCCATACCCAAAGAAGCTCAACAACCCAGAGCCCCCAAAGAAAGTCTGCAGCAAAGGAATATGGACAGCTCTTGGCCACTTGACTCTCTTCCATCTGCCAGCTGTCGCAATCACCCTGGCAATCCTCGCCCTCTACATCGCCCAAGTCCGCTGGCCTCATCCTACCGTCGAGCAACTGAGCATTCTCCAATTCGTGGCAAAGGGCCACGAGATTCTCATCTTGGTATCTCTAGCTGATGTCCTAATGTATCGGGTTTACTACGGCCTCTTGGTTGACAAGAATGGCGTTCCCCTTGGCTTTCTCTCGTCGCCCTTTCAGCTCGGTGCCCCGATCCTCTACCTCTTTAGTTGGGAGCTATGGTCTGCTATATTGCAGCCGAGAGCTAACCACTCGCGAGGAAGACCCCGAATTACTGGCTTCATCATCATCGTTGTCATTCTTCTCTCTCTCGCTGCTGCTCCTTTGTCTGCCATCGCAATCATCCCACGCGAAGGGTGGCAACAAGTCCACCTACAGCCAAAAAAGGAGGAAATCATCACATACGTGAGGGCCCAGCTATACGAGACGGACCTGGACTCCAAGCATGTTGAGCTATATGAAGTCTTCGCAACTTCGTCGCCAAGTCAACAAGATCTCTTCAGGATGCTCATTCCCATCATCGATGACCCGCCAGACAAGGAAGAGTTTAGCAGTTCGCGACGGATGGCCAACTTTACGTATACCAACTATAACCTCGACACCCCGGGGAGCCGTCTCATCTCGCTCACCATGGACTTTGAGGACCTAGAGTCGAGCTCAATAGCCATTGCTACAACTCCCATGAGCGCCGTGGCTGATCAGCTTGATCGATACTGGAGGGAGAAGCCAACCGATGTTCTCACCAAGTCTTATCGAACGGCTGTGAATTCTTCAGAAGTGCAGAGATGGAAACAGCCTCTAATTGCTGTGGAGTGCTCGCCTAACAAAACAGCGGGATCACAAGCAAGTTTTAGTTTTCAGTCCAACATTACCAACAACAATGTTCTTCTCGACGCGGACAAAGACTCTGGCTTCAAGAAGTTACTCAAAGTCGCCCGAAGGAAGAAGTCACCCCAGCTCGGTTATCAGATCGTCGATCTCCCAGACAGCAAAACCTCTTCCATCAGTGCGGCTATGGTGTTTGTCACTGATGACTGGAGGGCCGATGATGGTACACCATTGCAGGGTGAGGAGGAGGGACTTCTCGAGCTGGAGCTATGCCGCATCCATGCTCGCTGGGAAGAGGCCGACGTCTGGGTTGAGGAGGGGAAGTCGAGTAATGTGCAGAGCCAGCTCGACTCGCCTCTGTTCAGGTTCTCTCACCACTTTGGAGACTCTGCCAAAGCTGGTGACACCATCAAAATGAAGGAAGAATGGTTGACGGCCCTAGGAGAGCGAATAGGCCTGGACGGTGGCTTCTCTAATGAGACAAACTCGACATATCAGCAGATACGCGACTTTTGTTATTCCGGCATCGTGTACAGTTTATCTTCTGACTGTCTTCACATTACCCTAGCAGCGCATTTGACGGATGCATTGTCTCAGACAGGTCCTACATATGGCTTCAGTGAAGGCAATGGAATGGAGTATCCCACTGACTCACCACCGGATCATAACGACACTATTATACATCAAACCTACTTCTTGGGAGGGCACGTCTATGACTTCAAGACAAGCAGGACCATTCCGTTTGCTTTCTCGGTGCTTCTTTTACACGTTCTTGTCGTCCTCGTCCACGTGGTAACAGTACTTTTATCACGGCACCCATGGCATGTATCTAGCTGGTCAAGCTTTGGACAAATTCTTGTGCTGGCGCTGCGTTCTAAAGCTTCGGATGAGCTGGGGAGCGTAGGTGGAGGGGTGGAAAGTTCACAGACGTGGAATACAACTGCTGCAGTGAGAGTAGTTGGAGACGAGGGACGCATAGAGATGATGCTCCGCCAAAGAAGCAGGGGCACGGGCCAAGATCAGCAATTGGAAGATGGGGGTGACAATGAGAGAGGTGTGACGCAGGTGCAGCCAGATATTAAGTATCATTAGGTGGCAGAGCAGGGCGGTGTTTTTGTGATTTTATAGAAATACAGCGTATTGCTATCCCATCTTGGTATCCAATGACTAGAGTCCAATGCTACTTATTTCGTTGCTGAGGCTGAGGGCGCAAGCTAGTCTCCCTGTCGATCTGAGTTTATTCAAGCGCGGAACTTGATTGAAGTCCGCCCTCCGCCTCAGCCAGGTATATAAACTCCGATGGGGCCATTCTAATCTTCGACTCTGCTCTTGATACTTCTTAACCACTTCCCCAGCTTGAACCGTTCGGTTGAATTCATCCGCATCAGAGTTGAGTTCAAGTCCGTTCTCTGCTATCTACAAGACACTCTAGTGCGCAGCTGTTTTTACATGAGTGATAAATCTTTTCTCGACACCGAACTCGTCTCCTATTCTTACACTCTGAATTGCGAGGCACTCATCATCGATTACGAAAAGACGAACCCGCCATGGAGCAAGCTACATATCCCGGAGATGACATCATCCCTGATGCTGAGATGATTTACAATCAGACCCGAACTATCAGCGCATCAGCAGCAGACATATTTCCATGGGTCGTACAACTAGGAAAAGGTCGCGGAGGCTGGTATCTTACATCACGCTGGGAAAGGATGCTGCCCAAGTCATGGGTCGCCAGCCGTGTCATCAACCCAACTTTTCAACAGCTCAAACCAGGAGATCGAGTACCCGACTACGGAACAAAGGATGACTATTTCGATGTTGTCAGTATTGACCCACCTCGGTCGCTTATCTACGAAAGCCTCTGGTTCGGCACAAAGTTTACATGGGCCATACTGCTTCACGAGACCGAATCGGCAACTGGTGTATCGACTGTCGTCCATCTCCGGTTTCGTGGCAAAATTGCGCCTACGGGACTGAGGCGTAGAGTAATTGTCTGGCTTGGAGGTATTTTGGACCACACTACAACAGCGCCGATGCTAGCTGGGTTGGCTGAGAGGGTGGAGAGGGAGCATGTCGACTGAGGGGGCGATTGCACTGAAGATGAGATGATGAAGATTTAGTACTAGGAAGTAACTAATCAAATTTGATCCCCCCTGTGCTTGCTTCTCTAATCTGCTTATGCTTTTGACATTCTCATCTGCACCTATTGCCCCAGAATAGCTGACCAGTCGTGTTTCTTTGCCCACTCCTCCCAAGAAGTCATTGGACAGTCAATGCCAGCCTTACAATCCATCAGTAAATAACTTCAAATTTGGAAAGATCGAGTTTCATACCTTTTGAAGATCCTTGGCAGTCAATAGATCCATTGCCCCGTCGTATCCTGGATCAGATGTGTAACTAAACATCAAGGCGACCTCAATCCCTGCCTCCCTGTCGGGAGTGGCAGCCGCCATCTCCTCAGGTGTAACTTGGTGATAGCTGACTTTAGCACCGGTGACGCGTGACCAGGTTTCTATCCATTCTGGCCAGGTGCAGGTTGTGCCCTCAGCCATGTAAGCCTTGCCTGGTGGCATCTGATACACAGCGTAGGTGAAGTTGCCCATGTCTCCGACTGGATCGAAATGAGGAGCTGGCTTCTCTGGAGCAGTTGTAAAGGCCATCTCGAAACTTCCATTCGGTTGCTATTGACATTCAAGTAGAATTAGCGGATCAAGCACATACAGCCAGATGAATCCGCACTAACCTTGCCAAAATACGAGTTGGGAAGAATATTGAAACTCGTAAAAAAGTAGCCTGTGTGAATACAAGACATCTTGGCAGCTAGCTCCGGATGATTCTCCTCGACGTAGGCAGGGAAGATATCGGCCTTGGCGTCGAAATGATAGAGGTCCTTGAACTTGCCACTGCTACACTTCTCCGCCTGGCTCAGAGTCGAAACCAAGAAGCCATTATTATCGAGATTATCGACCACAGTAGCTGCAGCATCGGCAATGTTCTTACCGTGTTGATACTCAACATTGTAGGCAAACTTTCGGCAAGAAATGCCCTCCTTCTCCGCCTGCTCTCGACAGTCAGGCCGGAAGAAGGGTTCCCAGTAGTTTGTAACACTGAAAATGACATTAGCCCCACGGAAGGCGTCTTTGAGGGTAGTGACGTCGTCAAGGTCTGCGGCGACAACCTCGGCACCGGCTGCGGAAAGCTTCTCGGCCGAAACTGAAGCCGTGTTGCGGGTCAACCCCCGGACCCGGAAGCCGGCGTCTAGGAACCGACGGGCAACGGAGCCGCCCTGATTTCCGGTAGCGCCAACAACGACGATGAGCTTGTCTCCAAACATGATCGAAGCAATATGAGACAACAATGTTTATGGTATTGAGTGCCTTTTCAGCGGGGACAATCTGCGTGAAATCTTGTACCTGGCTGCGATAACTCGGCATTATCGGCCCCCCTCTTTGTGACAGGGATTATAAGGTCTTGGGCATCAGTTCGTCGGCTATACATTACCTGATCTGGTCATCGCTCCGGGCATTTGTCCTCTGGCGCGGTGTTCCTTTTGTTGAACATGAGCTGATTGCCTAGATAAGAAGAGCACAACAGGTTCAGCGGTGAGCCGGTGTCACCTTGTCTGTCCATTTCCCCTTTAGCTGCACCAGCTCCCGTTCTACCATGGATTCAAACATGGCGCCTCCGATGGAAAAAAAGAGCTCCTCTCTAAAGAGATCTAGATCATCACGATCCCTGGCTTCGAAGCCAGCTAGTCTGAACGCTCAGTCGGGAGGGGCTGAGGTGACGGGCCAGTCACCAATCGAGGCGAGGTTAGGGAGACAGGGCGACCGGTTTCCTTCCAGATCAAAGTAAAGTGTGGAAGCTGCATGACGCCTATGACGATGAAGATGCCCACTCTGCCCACTCTACAAACAGGAACACGTCTTCATAGGCTACATCACCAAGCAAAACTCTCCTCGATCAACCTCACGACAGAACCCCTCTTTCCAAGCTCCGTCACGGCGACCCTGACTTCATCAGCCATACCAGATGGTCCGCAGACAACCACCGTAGTGCCACCTGTGATACCTCCAAGTTCTTCCGTAAGTACAGCGCTGAGGTTGAAACGCTTCCCGACCGAGATGGAAACATCAAAGCCATTCCAATTCTCCTGACCGGTCTCGGCATGGTGAACTTGTGGAATGATATCCCGAACCGCCTGCACCAGGGGCTCAGTCCTGACACCCCAGAAAAGCTTCTTCTTGCCTTGGAGACCCATGATGCTTGGGCTGCGGTCCAAACAGGGCAAGACACCTGTGACACCAACGCCACCTGCCACACAGATGATGTTCGAGTACTCAATCGTTGGATGTGGTGCTGGAGATGGGAGGATGGACAACTGGGGGCCGTATGAGCCCTCGACCAACACGGGAATTCCCGTTGCTGAGTTCGCATGAGCCGATAGCAGAGATGTCAAGCCGGTATGACGTCGAACAAAGATGACCAGACCAGGACTAGCGGCGTCGCTTGAGAACCGCTCTAAGTCGGTGGTCTTGGGGACATTCTTCTCATCCTCGTTCGCGTTGTCACTGCCAGTATGTGATTGGGTCTTCGGAGAATGGGTAGGACCAAAAGACAGTGCAGCCACCGAGAAGGGATGGTTCTCCCAGAAGCGCCATGTGAGAGTTGGGAAGTAGAGGTAAACGTGGCCTTCAGCCTCAACCCCGGGAATGGTGAGTTGAAGGTAGTCCTCGTCGATGACGGTGACAATGACTCTCTTGACACCGTTTTGCACGACTCTCAATGGCCTAGCAAGGAAACGGTCAAAGATCCAGAAAGCAAAGGTGATCCAAATCCAGGTCTGGTATCCCCACTGCCATTCATATCGGTAGAAAATGTGCAGCATGCAGCCAATCATGGAAAGGAGCGCAAGAACGATATGAGATGCCAAGAAGGCCTCGTAGAACTTTTGCCGCAGCGGGAGAATGGAGAAGGGCATAAGCAGGACCAACGCCAAGGTCGCTACGATACCCCAGATCCAATAGTCCAGCTTAGACTCCTCCGCGTAAGCGCCCTCGCCTGTCAAAGGATCAAGGTAGAATTGGAGGTAGATTGCAGAATGCAAGCATGCCTGTAATATGCAGATGACAGCGATCCAGCGATGGATGAGGAGAAACGTCGAATGAGACCAGTTGGTCACGAACAGGAGGAGGTTGTTGCGGCTCGAGAAGAGAACAGCGAGAGCGAGGTTGGCGAAGCTCAAGAGTCCCACACGGTTGCTAATGTAGGCGATAAGCTGCTGCTCGAGGGATCCGTACCAGGACATGGGATCTCGGACTTTATATCCAACAGCCGAAAGGATGATGTTGATGATCCAGATGTAGGCGACGAAAAGTCCCTGGCCACGCGTAGGAACGAAGCCAAGTCCAAGAACGGGCACGGCATGGTATTGTCCAAACAGCGGAGGGTCAATTATGGTGGCGTAGAACTTGGACACGAGTGACTGAGGAACTGGGAGGAAGCGAAGCCAGGAGAAGACGACGGGGATGATGACGCAGGTAGCCATGAGAACGATGCTGCGCAGCTGTTAGTCGATGGAAAAGTCAAGATGATTCTAGGTGCTCACCCATATCTCTCGGCCAGAATCTCCATCTGTTCAAACCCATTGTCGCCGTTAAAGTTGGCAAGCCACGCATCCTCATCCACCAGAGACGTTCTGTTGAGCACTTCCTCCGAGTCGACCACTTCAGTAAGAGGGTCCTTGGAGACGAGCGAGAGAGCGACTTGATAGGAGTATTTGGGAGATGGCTGAATTTTGAGTCGACCAACGATGTCCATCTCCCAGATGTTCTCCAGGGTCGAATTCTTTTCGTCGGCGCAATGAGTGTGAAAGCACCAGGCCATGGTCTGGAGGAAGGGATCGTTGGTAGCCTTGCATTCGGGTGTTGCAGCAGCCATGTGCATTGAGCTTGAGTGTTCGCCCATGCCATGATCGTCTTTGCAGTCAAGAGTCCAACTCTTGACCGTGTCGATGCAGCCAAAGGCACATGGGGGATCGTACATTACCACGCCGTAGCCAATGACTCCATATCGCTCTCTCCCCGTGGTAACATGCGCCCAAACATTGAAGGATGAAAGGCTCACAAGAGCTAGCGCCGAGAAGAGAGATCGCATGCTGGCGACCGGGTGTTGGAAAATGAGTGGTGAGCAAGCGTGGACAAAGAAGCTTCACTAATGAGGGCCTTTTTATAAGCTTAACAGAGCCTCGGATTCCTTGCAGACACAGTCAAGGATTAGCAGTTGTCTCCTCCACTGAGAAGATTGTATCGTATCATCCGGTAGACGGTGTCATTGCCTCACCCGCCATGTTGGTAGCGAGAGGGGAATTGAGCAAAATGGCGGCCGCGTAGAAGCAATAGAGCCCAACCGCCACACACCAAGACGAGTCTAGACCACCAACAAGGGAGACGGCTTAACTTGAGCACTTCGACCTAGAGTTTTCTCTCCTCTCACGCAACTTGATACAGACATAAACCGGGCTTGCCAAGGCCTCATGTGGCGTTCATGCTTTCCAATCTTTGCCTTTAGATAGGCCGAGATGGGGGTTGGAGGGTCTTCAAGGTCTAGCCCATGTCCGAGTGAAACTCGCTCAAATGTGCGCGTTCATGGCATGTCTGCATGGGACCCTTGTTCACCAACTGCCACACGATGAACACGGCACTTGGTGGGTGACTGAAAGGATTTTTCATCCAGTAGAAGACGATGAAATCGCATGATTGTATTTCTATTTGTCCGTGGTGAACCGGTTGCTTGGGATCAGTGGGGGTTGGTGACCCGTTCGTCTAAGAGGCTGCCCACCAACAACCCTTATTTATCTCCAAGAACGGCAGATATTCTGCATCTAGACATTAGTAAACCATCACCAACATGTGGCTTGACACTAACCTCTTGACCCCCTCACGGAGAGTCCCCTCGTCGACGGTAAACATCAGGCGAAATCTTCCCGCCCGAGGCGCCCGATATTCACTCCCTGTGTCCATAATGACTCCGGCCCGGGTGAGGCGCTGGGAAAATCTCTTCTCGGCTTCCCATTCATCGCCGTTAACCTCGTCGAGGTCCAGATGCCGTGACAAGTTGAGCCAGACAAAGAGGCCGGCATTACTACTCTTTGTCAGTGACTGCTCACACGATGCGCGTTCAAGAACCTTGCCCTTTTTCGTGATAGTCAATATTGGCTTCTTTTAAGAGTGTATCAGTCAAGGCACGGCCTGAGTGTAGCCTGGCTCGCGACTTTTCCAGGAACTGGTCTACAAATGCCTCGTCTTCGAGGAACTTGGCTGCCAGGTCCATGGACAATTGCGACGGCGAAGAGAATCGGCTGGAGTGTAATATGAGTAGATGACACCTTTAACCATTTGTCAAGCGTGCTCACCAAATGGCACGCACAGCCTTGGAAAACTCTTTGTTCTGCGTAATGACGCATCCAAGTCGAAGACCCGCTGCTGCGTAGTCCTGATGCCATTAGACAAGCCAAGAGTGACGGGGTGAACAGAACCTACCTTGGACATTCCATGAAGAATATGAACCTGACTAGGGTCTATAATGCCCGAAGGATCTACAGCGCGAAGAGATGTAAACTTCTCCGACCCATCACCGTCTCGGCTGTAGACTGAAAGTGCGTATATCTCATCACTGATAAGATGGATACCCTTTGATGCGCAGAACTTCAAAAGTGCAACCAGTGTCTCGCGAGGATAGCATTGTCCTAGACTCTCATAAGCTTCGCTTCTTTGAACTAGAGGCCTTCTCACCTATAGGGTTGTGTGGGTTGCATATAACCAACGCCTTGATGTTGACGCCTCTGGCTTTCGCGTCCTCAAATCCAGCTTCATAACCTGCAATGCAACCAGGCGAGAATTGGTCTGTATCCCCCACTGACACATATTCAAGATTCACTCTGCGAGATGAATTAGACTAGTGAATGAACCATAACGTAAATACTTACCCAGTTCTCATCACAAAGTCCTTGGAGAAGGGTCCATAAATAGGTCTCCCAAGCATGATAGCCTCCCCAGGATCGCATGTGACCAAGGCACAAACCTCGTTAAGGTTGGTTACTCCTGCAGTAAAGGTGATTTCCTCGGCATCAATGGCCTGAGCTGGATGGAAGTGTCTGTTCAAGTGCTTTGCCATGGCAGAGCGAAGTCGCAGCGTTCCTGTGTAGCCTTCACCATATGTGAGGAGACTCTTGTCGAGATCATGCTTGCATTGAAAGTCAGTAAGTTGCTTATCAACTGTCGTTTGGGGTTGACCCAGCGTACATGGTTGTTCATGAATTTGGCAAGGTCGTCAAGTATGAACCACTAAACAGTCAGTATTTCAAGGATAAAACTCGAGCGACATCGCTTACGTTGAAAGCATTGGTGAGGATGACATCACCTTTGGGATTCTTGACGGGGTCGTAGGCGTTCTCCTTGCCGTGGAGATAACCATATCTCGTCCAGGCGGTTCCTCGTGCTGACAACATACTTGCTGATAAAGTTGCAACTGGAGATGGTTTGGTAGAAGAAAGGCAAGGGTCACTTGGCTCAACCAGGGTCTTTCAGCTTATATCTACCCCTCACGAGGGACAAAGCTGCAGGTCTATCACGTAAGAGGGCAACACAAGTGAGGGGTTCTTACAAGGATATCGCAATGGGCAAGAATGGTTGGGCCACGTAAGACTGTCAGAGGCCAAAAGGGTGCTGTTGGTTTCAACAATCTTAAGGCAGAGTCCCCATTGGAAAATGACTCCAAAGGCTTCGCCATCTTCAGCCCCTACTGGAGCAGATCTACGTCTGTAGTGGGTAAAAATTCACATGTATCTTGATTAGAACCTCGGAAATGAGCAAACGGCGCTTCTATTTCACCAGGTCACCAATCTAACTGGCTCCTCTCTTTCGTTCTCTATCTAGCTTGTGGTAACCGGAATCGAGTTGTACTTGACCAAACCAGCTGTCGCACGCAAAATATCTGTCCTACTTTTACGAGACGAGAGAAAGAAGAAACCTCCAAGTCTCACCACTCCATCCGTCGGGTCTGGTATGCGCTCTCCGCGTCGATAGAAGCAGCAAGATCTAGTAATGAGTGCCCGATCCTCTGGTGACAACTTCTCTAGCGTCTCACTACAGACCGTGTCCGTGGCACAGATGCCGCCCTTGTCGGCTCTGAGCCAAAACAGGTCGGACCATATCCTCGCATTGTATGGAATGGTTGAGTGAGGCTCAAACGGCTTCGACAGCGCCCGAATTCGCTCAGTATCTCCCAGCATCCGCAAAACATGGATGTCATAAAAGTTGACGCCGTAGGTTGCACCCGACCCGTAGCAGTTGGCCATTCCCGGTGGTCGAGGGTTGACCTCAATGGTGAAGCATCGCTTTGGGGAGTTCTTCACAGAGCCTTCTTTCGGGCACAAGTCGTAGACACTGTCTTTAAGCCTGTACTCGGAAGACGAATTCTGTACCTTGGCCTCAAGATGAAAGACTCCAGTCTTGAGACCCATGGCAAGCAACAGGCGATGCATCTCGTCACGCAAGAGCGCGAACTCATCGGGTGGAAGAACAGTTGGGAAAGCGTTGATGGTCTCCCAAAAGTCGCTGTCAATATCCCCCTGGTCTCCGGCGGTTGGAAAGTCGTCATTCATTTCGAAAAAGAGAATCTCTCCATCCACAAGAACAAAGTTGGCATCCACTTCTGGCCCCTCGACATACGTCTCGATCAGAGCCTTTCTCTTGGCGACTTCTGTGATGCGACGTACTGCCTCTAGCAGGGCTGCTTCATCGTCAACTTTGTGAACATGGGCGGACCCTGTCCCAAAGGTTGGCTTGACGATGAGGGGATACTCGGGCACGAAAGACTTGTCCTTGATGCACTCCTCAAGATCAGACACTCTGTCAACCATGGCCGAAAGGACAGGGTCCTGGTCGAGGAGCCTTGTCTGGTACTTGTCGTTTGCCATGGTAATTGCCTCTGGTGGTTCAGTAGGCAAGCCTAACAGAGTTGCCGCCTTGGCCACAGGAGGGAGGGAGTATGTGGCGATACCGCAGATGCCGTCAACATGTCCATATGCCTTGACAGCCTCGGCAATTCGCACATGGAACTCTTCATCTGGTGTCATGTCGATGGCGATGTAGTCATCGTACAAGTGATGGAAAGCGGGATCAGTGATCCAATGATCTTTCCGATCTAGAAGCACCACCTTGGCTCCAAGTGCCTTTGCAGAGCTGTAGAGGCCAAGATAAGACTCCAAGTTGAGGTGGCCATCGACCAAAGCCAGCGTCTTTTGCTGGGGTTGATCTTTGAGAAGCCATTGGAACTTTATCCTGGCGTCCACCTCTTCGATGAGAACAGCTTCATAACAGAGACCGGTTTGGTCTTTGGGACGAAGGAACATGAGGGCGCTTCCATCAAGAAGCTGGTCAAGGCTCGACTCAGTGACAGGACTTGCAGGAGTCCCAAAGACTGAGCGGTCAATCAAGACACCAAAATCTTTGCAGCCCACAAAGCGTTCTTGGAAGCAGTTGGTCCTAACGAAGAAGCCAGTGGTTCTAGGTACGGCCAGAAGGGCACGATAGGACCGCGAGGCGGCAGAACCAGCATTATCCAGTGTCTGCGCAGCACGCAAAAGATCGCTCAGACCATCGCTATAAACTCATTAGTATATAATTTGATAATGTGCCATGCTAGAAGTACCTCTTGTCAGGCTCCTGACTGCCATTCTCTATGCCTTGCCGTGAAGTGACGTCCACATCCACGAACCAGAGATCATAGCCCTGTCGCTTCTTGTCGCTCGACTCGACTAGGGAGCCAGAGCAATGAACACCCACGGCAATCTCAGTGAGATCATGGGTACCATTGCTCTTGCTGTCAATCTCTTGGTCGATCTTGACCACACGAGACGTGTGCCAAGTAACTAGATTAACGGCCATGCTAATGAAGTTGGTGGGATGAGCCCCTGGCAGCGTATGCGTCCCGGTTGAGTCGTTTATGCTTAAATGGGTCGAGTTCTCTCGTATGATGACGGACCGCGAATATCCACATATACCCTGGCCTTCGGCACATGCGGGCGAGGCCAAGAATGGAGGCGAATCTCCGCGTCAACGGCCACGGGATATGGGTCGTGATACATGTCACGTAATCGGGCTCCTCCTCACGTCAGAAACCGTCTCCAGTCTTTCCGCGCCTCTTTTCTGCATTTCTAGTAAACTGCAGGTACTTGTGAAACGCAGATCACGGCACAAACGGCCGACCCCTGCTGAAGGATCTTACTCGCCACGAAGCGGCAGATGCGCTTGGGCGTTTGTAGAAGTCCAGAACTGGCTATACTGCATAATTAGATATGTGTTACCATCAAGGTAATCGCCGCGGTTGCATCGCTTATTCAGACTAGGTTTCACGCTTCACAAATTGCTCATATGTGCGCAATATTACTAGTTCATTATTGAATCCGGAAGGTAAAACAAGCTCGCCATAGTCGAGTCATGCATAGTCAGCTTCCCCATCGGTTCGGCCCGCAGCGTCTTACTACTTGGACGCCGGCCTCTGCACCCCCGTGGGGGGGGACCGGCACTGAGCAAGTTTGATACCTGCCGGTCCAGGCGGCTTACAAGGTCCCCGTAAGATTGGCGGGTCAGCATGGATATGTTGACATGTGCGTGCATTACAATTTGCTAGGCGAGGCATGTGATGAACACGTTGCTTGGAGAGGCGCGGGAAGAGGACAGCTTCCTAGCATTGCTGATGACGGGCCAGTTACTGGTATGGGTAGAAGGAACTTGATGAGATATTCTCTCAGTTTCGAGGTTTGGTAGTGGAATATTTCCAAGTAAGTCAGCCAGTTTCGCTATATAAATCTTGGTGTTGAGAGACAGCTACTACTTGGGAGGCGACTGATACAGCATCGAGTACATCACCAAAGTCAAAGTACACACACACAACATGGCAGTCTCTAACCCTCTCAACGTCTTCAAGGGCCCTGATGCTCTTCGTCAGTTCTTTGATCCTGATGAACAGCCTCCGGTCCCCTTGGTCGAGTTGCCCGACACTCTGAACCCATTTCGAAAGGACAATGTGCGCATCTACGCCAAGCTGCTCACGTTTCTTCCAGCCCAGAACGTCAAGGCGCTTCCAGGTAGGCCTTTGATACTATACTGCAATTATTTTTGCAAGGCTAACAAGACCTCGTATAGCTGTCAACATGCTCCTCCATGACCCTTCCGCCGCCAACAAGTCCGTTTTCGAGGTTAGCTCCGGATCGACCGTCACCTCGCTCGCCATCGCCAACCGAGTCCTCTACAACAACGATGATACAACTGCATATGTCTCAAATAAGGCTGCGATAGACCGTGTTCGGGAACTGCAGTTCTTTGGTCTCAAGGTGATGCTCTACGGTGGCCCAACTTACACCGACACCACCGACATCAGGGGGCCGGTAGAGTGGGCCAGAAACCTAGGCAAGAGTTCGGACAAGGTGGTCAACCTCGGCCAGTACGACAGTGTGTGGAACTGGAAGTCCCATGAGCGCTGGACTGGCCCTCAGATTCTCAAGCAGCTGCCGGAGATCGACATCTTCTGCATGGGCATGGGTAGCACAGGGTGTGTCACCGGCACTGGCATGTACCTCAAGTCCCAGAAGCCCAAGGTCAAGGTGTTGGGTGTCTGCAATGTCGAGGCCGATATTGTACCAGGCCCTCGGGAGCGTCCCATGCATGAGACGAGCCCGTTCCCCTGGAAGGAGGTCGTGGACGAGACCGAGATTGTCAGCTCCAAGGAGTCGTACAGACTGTCCATGCATCTTTCCCGGGAGGGCATCATTTCTGGTCCTTCAAGTGGCATGAACCTTGGCGGTCTGCTCCAGTTCATCCAGGCCGCCAAGGACAAGGGAGCTCTCAGCAGCTACGCTGACCCTATCACGGGTGAAGTCTCTTGCGTCTTTGTTTGCTGTGATCTACCACAGAAGCATATGGACACGTACTTCCAGAAGCTGCCTGACAGTGAGTTCAAGGAGATTGGCAACCGAGTAAGTCTGTCACCTTCATCATCTTACGCATGTGCTGATGGCCAACCATTTAGGAACTGTTTGATGTCGATCAACACGTGTATAGCTTCAGATGGGAAGCCGATCCCGAGGCTATCCACCCGACTGACCCAGAAGTCATGGCTCGTCTTGCCAAGCTGGCAGTTGCCAAGGGCGCAGTGAACGGAGTCAACGGGCCCAATGGTACTAGCCTCTCTTCTTCCTCAGCCATTCGCTGCATCGACCTGCGTTCCCCAGAGGACTTTGAAGAATGCCATGTACAGGGCGCCTTCACGTCCCCACTGGAAGGTTTGACGCCCAAGAGCACATCAGTCTTTGAGTTTGGGGAACCCAACGTCCTCATTGACCAGTGGAAGAAGCTCAAGGCCAAGATTGAAGATTCAGGTGTCTCAAAGTGGTTATCAGCTGCAACAAATCCCCTGCTGGTTCTAGACTATGATGGTAACACGTCAAGGGTCATGGCTGCAGCCTTGAGAGCGCAAGGCTTCGAAGCTTACTCGTTCAAGGATGGCATGTCTGGCTTGGCCAAGTGGCTCAGCAGCAAACAGTCTACATGAGTTAAAAATTGTGTAATGCGATAGTTCAGTAAGCAGGAATTAGAATGATTTTTAACTAGACTTGAGAAATTTGATCAACTGGTGTCTACTTTTAAAATCTGTCTACGCTAACAGCTAACTAAGAAACATTTACTTGCCACACTGAATCAACCTCATCGGCTTGAAACCCGTAGCTCTTCCGTGAACTTGACCAGCCTGTGGAAAAGCAAAGCCCAAGTCCTCATCGTTGTAAATGGCCTGATGGATCGGGAGCAGCAACCTTGGACGGTCCGCCAAAGGAGGCCTTTGCTGGCAGACGGTATGGAAGTTGTCCTCGCGAACCACCAGTGCGGGAATGGTATCAACGTGGAGAAATTGCCTCACTGTGCTCATCTTGCTCTGTAAAAGGCGCTTGTGAAATGCACTGGCTCGAAGAACTTGGAGGACATCTGCCAGATCGATCTCCCACTTGACACCAAGCTGATGAGCACGACAAAATTCGTCGAGCATCTCTGTGCAATCTTCTGTCGTCAAAACATCCGGATAATGTGCAATCATTCGGAGAACCATTGTTGCGCTGGCCCGGTGGTTGCCATCAATAATGACGGGTATTCTTTTTCCGTTCTCAAGTGGCAGTGCTGGATACGTCGAAACTGCAATGGGGGCAATGCAGCAGCCACCTTCGGACTCGCTGAGGAGCATCTCCTCCACAATGGTTGCAACATGGGTCGAGATGGAGAACTCGGAGCGAGGGAGCTTCTCAAGAGGCACATATGCATACGGCAGCTGTTGGTGGCCCGTGAAATGGACATGACTGATCCCCTCAAGCAATGGGCATCCAAGGAACAGTGCTTCCTGTGCCGCTTGAGCGACAGCAGCGGACCAGTCAGCGCTGGTTGCATGCGCTCTTGGTGCTTGACGTGCCACTGCAGTAACTGACGACAGCATCCGGGTAAAGCATTCGACAGATTTGTCTGGGATATTCTCCAGGCCTCCCAATGGGTCTTTGAGGAGAGAAAAGATTTGCAAAAAGGCTTCTGCTTCATCTTGTCTTGTTTGACTTTTGCACACCCTTGTTGTCATTTCCGACAGGGCTCCGGCCCAGAGCTGGCTGGCAAGACCTGAAGCGATGTGGTCTGTTTCATAATCCACCGGGTTTGTGATGAATGTTGACTTGGGAATGCCTTCATTCTGGGCTGGTCTCTGTTTTTGCATCTGGCGTACGATCCAGCGTGTTTGTTCTTGGGCTCTCTCTTTCAGTTGTGGAACAGCTCTTTTCCAGCCAACTATCAAAGCCGGAGCCTGGAGAACCTGGCATATGATGGGTGTAAATGCCGTAGGGAGACCTCTCTCAGGAAGTTTCTCGAGCATGAAGCTCATTCTTCCAAGCTCCGTCTCGAGATTCCCATGATTCAGCCAGTCATGGTACGTAAAGTGTTGGGCAAACACTGTCTCGGCCGTGGGGAATAGTCTCGGTGGGCGTGTATCCAGAGTGAACGCTGCATCAAAGACTCGAAACAAAGCCAAGTCGACAAGATCTTGAAAGGAAGGAGAGTAAAGGTCCCGAGGCAGTGGTCGCTTCTCTGGAACCACCACGTGGCTGCTGTGCAGCTTGGACTTGCTGGGTTCCAGCGACGCCGAGGTTGGTGCTTGAAGAGGAAGTTGAAGGACCTGCATTGTCGTAGATTGATCAAAATGGCCAAGATCTTTGCTTCTCTATCTACATGAAATCAAGACTACTTCAAGGCTGGCTTATAACGGCTACAGAAAGGGTGTACTAAGGCAACAAAAGCCATGCCTGGGCTGCTCTAACACTAGGAGCCGGATACTGTTACGCCTCTTTCTCTGCCGTTACAGATCTCCGCTTACCTTACCAAGCTGGAAGCATATTCTAGGTAAGATTGGGCATGTTGGATTGTCTCATAGCCGGTATGCAGAGCGAGTTTGAGAGCCTTGGGGGACACTCGGTCCAGGATCGGACTCCATCGGACGTAAGACTGAGGCGAAGAGCACGCGTGGCGAGGCCGCGAATAATCTGTACTCCATAGGATCATAGTACATGGAGTTTACAAGCAAGCTCCGGTTCCTGGTCGTTTCATCTACAGGGGAGCTCGTGGGGGCTAAAGCAGGTGAATAATATTGCTTGCACCGGGTCTAATGCCACTTTCAGGTCTACAAGCGTCCGTCCGCAAGGCCTGGGTCCATCGCCTTTTGGTGCAGCCGATGCATTCCGTACTCAACTAGTCTGTGCTTTCATGATCTGTTGCATTAGTGAGATTGGTGCGTCAGTGATACTCAATGCCAGGCATCAGTTACAGCCGCCTGAAGGGGCTTACAATTCTGAATCATCGGCTGAGTAGTAAATTGTGTAATATGATTGTGTGACAGTTCAAATGGCTCATTGGTGTTTCAATAAGACATCACTTCGGAGCATAATCACAGCATAAATGTCAGCCGAATCTGGCATACGGATCATCAAGATTTGCAACTGGTGAGATTCGGAGATGCACGATATGACTGCAGAATGACTTGTGTCCGAATATGGCATGTCGCACACTTTGACATGCCAATAGGGTCTTACGCGGCAACCTGTGATTACCATTCCTCATCTCTATTGCATATGAGCAATCATAGAATGAGTAATGGAAAATAGAAGCATGCTCTCCATGACTTCTCTGACCACCCTCCTCGGCACGTAGCGAGAGGCATAAACCGTGCATATGCATCAATCGCCACGCCCCTGAATAGCCAATGCCCCCAGAAAGTACCTTTGTGGACATCTAACCCAGATCTACATCAAAATCACCCTTGTAGCAGTGGAGCACCACTATTGTTCCCCGCCTGGGGTGAACCAACACATACCATCAGCTTCCTCTCTTGTACCTCAATAAGTTCCTGTGGGACCATGCCTGCAGCCCCGACCTTCCCTCTTCTCTCCCTCCACATGCGGAGAAATCTGTTGGCTCGGCTCTGACCGGGGACCTGAGAAGGATTGAGGCCATTTGACCCGTTTCCGGGGGCGGGACGGGGATAAGCTTACAGGGCACGAACCAATCGGGGGATTGCATCCTGGGGTCTTTTTGGTCGGCCCGTATTCGCTCTGCGAGGTCTCTTTGTTAGTGCTCGAGCTGGCAGGGACAAATGTCGCCATGGTTGGTTGGTAGGTAATCCTTTGTCGGCTATAGGCGGCGTCTCACTCGCCACCTGCTTTGTGCTGTGCTTCGTGGCTTTTGCTGAGTTTGTGTTCTCCCTTCAAACCTTCACTAGGTTCCCGCTGCATCAAAAGCCACTGGCATTAGCACTTGAAACCTAGGCCGGAGGAAGAGGACCTGTTTGTGATTAGCTAGGTATCGTATATCGTACCATCTTGCAGCCTTTTCTCCTCTCTCATCCTTGTCGGCAGCATGAACCCCTCTTCGGAGAAAGAAAGCCCTGGGCAACTCACATCGGAGCCTTCTGAGAAAACCCCCAGCCAAAACACCAATGGGGTGATCAATGCTTCTACCACTGAAGCTCAAGCTCCTCCAGATTCATCGGCTGTCAGTTCTCCGGAGACTGATCAAGAAGAGCCATCTGAAGACGACCTAGCAAATCTACGGCACGTCAGCGGAAAAATTCCAGTTGAAGCATGGATCGTTGCTTGGTTCTCTGGGGCTGAAAGGTTTGCCTACTATGCCCTGCAGGCGCCGCTACGTAAGTTGCATCTCTCCTAGTCTACACCTCCCATCTAACATCTAGGAGAAAACTACATCCAAAACCCTGCCAGTGGGTTTGGACGTCCAGGTGCATTGGGCATGGGCCAATCGGTTGCCACAGCTCTCAACTCCTTTCTGAGACTGGTGAGCTTCACTACACCTGTCTTTGCTGGCGTGCTGGCGGATGGACATTGGGGTCCATACAAAACTCTCGTTGTCTCGTGCGTGTAAGTTGCACCAAGCATAAATGGTGTTATTTATCTCTGATCAAGTGTAGACTATACTTCACTGGCATTCTCTTGCTACTCTTGACCTCAATCCCCCCAGCTCTAGATGCTGGCGCCGGTCTTGGGGGCTTGATTGGAGCCTTCATCCTAATAGGTCTCGGTGTTGGAGGCGTCAAGTCGAGCGTTGCCCCATTTACAGGTAATATTCCACCAACATCCATTGAATTGATGGATCTACTAACTCAACCAAGCTGACCAGGTGCGGATCACTGGAAAGCAGATCCAAACACTTGACTCTGGAGAACGTGTCATCGTGGACCATGAAGTGACGGTGAGACGTGTCTACAGCATCTTTTACTGGTGTGCCAATGTCGGAGCACTCTCTGGTCTTGCGAGCGTCACCATGGAGAAATACCTCGGCTTCTGGACCTCATTCTTGATGTCTCTTGTTGCTCTCGCTTCAGGAACTGTCGTGCTTATTCTGGGACGCAACAGATTTTGTCAGTAGTTTTCGGGCTGAATCTTTTCTCCAAGTGAATACTAACTTTTTTCTAGACCGTCGAAAGCCAGAGGCAAGCTTTCGGGCCAAACTTCTGAGTGCACTTGGATGCGCCATCAGAGGAGGCTTCAACTTGGATTCTGCTATGCCCGCTGTGCAACTAGAGAAGCATGGCCGAACCGTCCCTTGGGATGACCAGTATGTCGAAGATCTTCGACAGGCCTTGCAGGCGTGCAGAGTTTGGTAAGATTATACGATTCAATCTCATCTTATGGCATGGCTAACGAAAACACAAGGGCCATCTATCCCATTGTTTGGCTATGCTATGAACAAAATCAAACCAACCTGGTCTCTCAATCTGGCCAAATGGTCACTCATGGGATTCCAAACGATGCTGTCTCGAGTCTGAACCCCATCTTTGTGCTTATGGCTGTTCCTCTGTTCGAACACTGCGTGTATCCGTACATGCACAAGCTGAAGCTAAACCCAAGGCCAACCGTCAGGATGACGCTTGGGTTTGTCATGATTGCCTTCTCCATGGCGATAGCCGCTGGTGTTCAACAGGCCGTTTACAACGCCGGTCCTTGCTACAACATGCCTCTGGAATGCGCTGCGTCAAACGACGGTCATATTCCCAACCAGGTCAGCTTCACGTTGCAGATACCCGTGCACGCTGTCAGCGCTGTCGGGGAAGTATTGTGGTCTGTCTCTGGATCTGAGTATGCATACAACAAGGCTGCTTCGCATATGAAGTCGACGCTTCAGGCGGTAACGTAAGTACTCACTTTCTTCATTTCATCAACGATTATCCGTGGCTAATACTTGATTCAGTATGCTCACGCTGGCTTTGAACTCTGTCCTGGGACTGGCAGTCTCTCCTGCAGCACACAACCCAAACCTCGTCATCTTGTTTTCCGCGTTTGCCGGTGCCATGACGGTTGCTTCAGGGGTATTTGGTTGGTTCTTTTGGACAAGTGACTAAACAGGCATTTTACCCATAGAAGGATGGAAAACCTGGTAGTTGCATAGATAAATGCTCCAGTAGATCCTCAAGTTCATAGCTCTGAAGTTGATCAAGATCACATTGGGCCTAGAATAGATATCAAGAACCACTTCTGTACTAAAAGTTGCCGCTTGGGGGCCTATATGCCTGCCTATTTGGCCATTCGATGGATGATTTTCGTAAATCAGTTCCAACTCTCTCCTCGGGTAGGCGTAATACACCGGCCTTGCTCACATACCATATACTGTCTTGGTCTTTGCAAGAGTTCGTGCAATGAAAATCTCTGCAAAGCATATGTCTGTCTAAGAATAGCAAACACTTGGTTTTGCCAGCTAAATATTGTCGTGGTCATTCCACGAAAGCTCTCCTACAAATTGGGTATTCTTGCCACAGATTGTAGCTACTTCGACCCGAGCGTCGGCATGGCCGTTTGCTGTCTCGTCGCCATCGGTAACGGCGGCTCCGACGGCAGTTGCCTTATATCGGAAGGTCTTCAACTGAAGAAGTTGAATCGACACGTATTGAAACTGGGGCTTTGTGGTGGCCTTCAGGAGTGGGAGCCTCTGACATCGCGTCTTCCTGAAGTCGCGTGTCAGACGCTAGGGTTTCCTCACCACGGCGAGTAACACAAACTGAAGAATGACACGATCTCATTCTCAGACCATAAGGCAATTTTGGACCTTGTGATGCTTCTATTAATATTCTTTGATAATGACGGCAGAGCGTTGGTAAATGCCGAGATAAGGTGAGTGGCCTCTGAGGAGTGACGGGCCTCATCAAGGATTATCGACAGATTCTGGGATGACATAAGGGGTTTCTGGTCCTATTTATTGACATATTAATATATGTTGCATATTCTATCGTACGAGGGACGCTCTGCTGCATATCTGTGCTGAATATCACTGTTTCAGCATGCGCCCTATCAACACCACGGTCCCCTTTACCTTAGCAACGTGTATCTGCATGTGCGGCCACACAAATAATATCAAATGTGAAATAATGTTTGATCTCCGCGGTACTTACTTAATGCTGGCGCCTCAAACTTACGCCGCATGTGATGGCACGACTCTGCTGTAGGTTTGTGAGCAAGTATGAGCAGTTAACCGCCTGATTCATATCGCCAACCCCGCTCGTATATGGCTGGAATCGATATCGTCATGGTAGTTACCTGATATATAACATCATCGTTGCACCTTGTCGCGAAACTACTGCGTGTTCAAACAACTTCCTTTCAAGCTGCGCATCCTCACGGTTCTCATGTCCCTAGAACCTTCGATCCCTCTCTGCACTCCTCCTACATCAAGTTTTATCATGCCATTTGCTTCCAAGTCCCTCGCCGCGCCCAAGTGTCTTTACTTCGGACATGGACGTTTTGGTACCAGACGACGGCATTCTCTCAGCTGCCCCTCAGGGCGAAACCACACTCCACGATGGCCTCAAAATCCCCGCCCCTCCCCCCACGAGATCTTGGGCATCGAAGCTGGGAAGCCCTACAATAAGGAAAACTTTCGAAGGCTTGTCAAGGTGTATCACCCTGATCTGCACGGGCAGAACCCCTTGGTGAACTCTCTTCCCCGAGCAACATGCTTAGAACGATACCACCTCATCATCGCCGCCAATGAGCTCCTCAGTGACCCCAGCAGGCGAAAGATGTATGAGATGTACGATGTGGGATGGGCTTTCAAGAACCAATATCGTGGGCCGCATACTCCGAACTCAGCATCCACGTGGTCAGGGTCGGGTTCCTACACTTCGACCTCTCAAGATTCTGGACATGCCGGTTGGACGGGGCAGTATCCAAAAATGCGCCAGGAGCCTATCTACATGTCTAACGGCGGATTCGCAATTCTCCTTCTGTTCGTTACCATGGGCGGTGCCATAACACAGCATGAGCGAGCCAAGAAGGCAAGACTACGGCACAAAACATTGGAACTCGCTTTCCATGACTCCATTCTCCTTGGTCTACAAGATATCATCTTTTCCTCTGGTGATCAACAAAAGGATGAGAGAGTGTTGGAATTTCTGGCTCGCAGGCATTTGGGCCTGGCTCGAACTAATGGACATCATCATCTGCTGTATGGTGGACTGGAGGACAATATCTGCCGGCATTGATGGTCAAGTATTAAGTGGCTGGGAGGATGATAATAAAGTTTTCGTTTTTCTATGGTTTCTTGGCGCAGTTTCATTTAAATGGCTCGGAGCACGGGACAAAGACTCAGGGAATGGCACTTATTCATTTAATGTAACGGCCTCGAGTGATTTTGTGTGGTTCCCATTGAAGTCCGCTCCATACAAAGGCCTTTTCCAACATGGTACATGTGATTGCCTCCAATTGATTCAACCACTTGACTGTATCCAGGCCTTTCCTAACGCAAATAATCACATCACACAATAGGGCTGAAGTCCTACGTTTCCAGTTAACAAGATGGAGAGCTGCGATCCGTCAGACTAGCCAAAGAGCTAGAAACTATCAACGGAACTTGCCGCTCCTCTCGTCTTCCAGCGAAGCAATAATGGCATATCATTTTTTTACGCCTTTCTCCTTCACAAGCCTCCCGGATTCACAATTTTGTGTTGGCGAGGTATACTTGTACGTCATATCCCCGTGTCAACCTAGCCTAAACTGCTTCCAGCACAAGTTGTCTCCAGGCACCAGTTGAATTCAGCCCAGTCTTTGGTCCGTCGATCTAGAACTTGGTGGCTTGGAGCAACCGGCCTCTACTAATTCCACTCCGAACGCCTCATTCCATCGCAAGGCAAACCAGGAATCAACACGTGATTATTATTAAACCCCGCTCATCCAGCAACTACATCAGTTCGAAGTGCAACCTACGCCAAGGTAGGGCAAGTCCATGGACCCCCTTTCTATAACGACAGGGGTTCTCGCCCTTCTCGGAGTATGTTACAATGTCGGCACCGGACTCAAAAGTTATACGATGACATCGAGGCCGTTGATGAGACGGTGGCGGCCATCATTGAGGATGTCAAGGCCCTCACCAAGGTCCTCAACACCATGAAGACGAGCTTCGACACCGTGGCTGGACCTTTGACTGGGCATGTCGGAGCTCACTGGGAGAACATTTACTGCAGTTTGAAGGATGGAAATGAGGCGCTAGAAGGGCTTTACAAGGTTGTGCAAGAGGTGAGCAGGGAGACTTCGGTCCTCAGTGGGACAAGGAAGCAGATGCGCCTCAAGGCTGCCGAGGGAAAGATTGGGATATTTCGGAAGCAAATTCAGTCCTTTCGAGATACTCTACAGCTCTCCATGCAAGCCCTTATTCTGTAAGTTCCACCAGCCTGGCCCCGATGAGCGGTGAGCTAACCAACACAGCTGGAACCAAGTATCCATTCAAGGTGCAAATGATCGAATCTTGCCCAGTCTCGAGGATATGCAACGCGAGATCCGAAATCTCGCCGTCAAGCTGAACGAGCGCATCAGCACTTTGCAGACAACGCCGGTTGCTGCCATCCCCCAGTCAGACATGACCAAGCCTGCAGAGATTGCAGCCATGTCAAACCTGAGGAATTGCGTACGATCAGCTGCCACCATCGTATCGTCTGCTTCAACCATCTTGACACTGGACCGGGATGAAGAGACAGAAACTTATTGTGGCTCTGATTGGGGGGATGTCTTGCCAAGTCAGACCAGCGAGTCCACCATGGCCTGGTTGCAAGACAGCGTCGACAGAGGACAGATACGGATTCCAGGATCTTCAAGACCGCCACAGGGAGATGACTCCGACTCGGACTCAGATCTTGACCTTGATCTTGCACTCGGACTCTACAAAAAGGCACAAGTCAAGTATCAGTCGACGGACTATGAAGGGGCCGAGCCGTTACTACGCAATTGCCTATCACGGCTAATGCCGATGACCGAACAGGGTCGAACACGGCCACGAAAGTCAGATCTCCCTTCAGCACACGAAGTCTTATCTCTCTTCTGTCAGACATGCATCGGCCTGGAGAAGTGGGAAGATGCAGCCACCGCCATGATCGACAAGATCGGGCTCAGCCCACACGGCCTAGAGGGCAAGGACGAAGCAGCTTTGAAGGACATTTCGACTCTAGTTATGGTTTTGTACGCCAAGAAAGACTACGTCCAAGGTCATTTATACGGCCGCAAGTTACTTCGTGGATACCGGAAGCTTGGCCCCAGCGGAGAAGAGGGCGTAGAACGCAGTCTGACTTCGCTTGTCGCCATCTGCAAGGCCAGCGGCAACACCGACGAGGAGCAGGCCTATTCCATCATGCTGGAGAATCTACGTGAGAGAAAGGCAGCTCAGTCAATGCCTATACCCGTCATCGAAGAGGAGAGTTATGGATGGAGAAATCCGGCTATTCCCGTCCCTGAAACAGAAGAACAAGCCTTACCTCGAGCCACCCAACCAGTCGATGGAAGAATACAGTTGCCGGCCCTGGGTATGGCTTACAGACCTTCGACACCAGCCGCATACTCTGCTCAGGCGTCCCCAGAGCCTCCTCCCCCGACAAGCATCTACTCACCCCCGCTTCAACGGTCCTCTATCGCCTCCTCTTCCTCCGTTCAGACCACAGTTCAATCTCCAGACAGTTTAACCACAGCAGTCCCACCAATCCGTCCAGCGACTCCAGTCGTTCGCAGCGAAGCTGAGCAGCTTCTGTTGTCGAGTAAATACTACTTTGAGAATCATGAACGACTACTACGAGCCCCCGTCAAGAAGAAGCTGGTAATCGTGGGTGACACGTTATCTGGGAAGAGCTTATTGCTCCAGTGAGTGCATCTCCGTTCTGAGCAGGTTATTTACTAATCATATGCATGCAGTCATCAAGCACATGGCAACGTCGACAAAGTATGAGCCACCGGAAGCCTTGTTCCATCTTCCATTTTGTCTGACTTAAACCTTGTTCAGGTGGCCCATCTCCACGAGGCTGCAGGTTTGCTAGAAACCTTTTACACAACCGTGACACTCGCAGACATAACAGTCGACATTACCATGACCGACACGCCGGGCCAGATGGACTATGATCGCTTGCGCCCTCTTTGTTACCCAAATGGCAACGTCATTGTATTGACCTTTGACAAGAGCATTCCAGAGTGTTTCGACAATATCGAAGAAGCGGTTAGACTCCAAATCAGTTACTGGATGAATACTGCTAATCCGTGACCGATCAGTGGATGCCCGAGATTCAACACTTTCTACCTAATACCCCCATCGTACTCGTGGGAAATAAGAAGGACCTCGAGTACGACCCTAAAATAATCCAAGAAGCGAAGAAGATAGGTTACCACCCAGTCACTTATGAAGAGGCAAGTCTAGAATCTTGATCTTGAGGCGTGGCAAGCACATGCTAACCTGTTTCTAGGGTGCAGAAAAGGCGGCCAAACTTCCAGGGGTGGTCAAATTCCTCGAGACTTCTGCCAAGACGGGGGAAGGTATCAAGGAGGTGTTTGAATTCGCTGCTCTGTACGCCTTGCTGGGGATGGGCCAGGAGAAGCCCCCAAGTATCTTCAGGAGACTGTTCTCAAAGAAATGAGGAGGCTCAACCATGCTCAGTGTCTCTGCATATGGCTGTGTCATCTTCCACGCAGCTTTGCTGTCAATGATATTTCGCTTATTGATCATGCTACCTATGGTATGTTGGAGGTGAACGAAGTTGTTCCATCCTTGAACTATTCAACCACCAGCCCATTCACGGCAATGGCTTCTGGCCGTAGGTGACATACCTGGGACAGTCAGCAAGCAGGCAAAATTTTGCATCAGTAACACATACATGTCACCATTTGGCAAGGTCGTCTGATCATTGATAGCAGTACGCATCCGAGCAACCAAGACTGTGATCTCTTCGAGGCTCCAACCCAGGATTTGACTCATGGGATAAGTCGCAAAGCCACCCAGGCTCATGTCCATATAGAAGTTGACATATCGGCCCAGTTCCTTGAGCTTCGGGTCCTTGGGCCAACCTGCATAAGGAACTTTGAACGTCTTGGGTGTGATCTTGGTGAATCCAGCTTCACTAGCCCAGTTCTCCATTTTCTTGTCTGTGATGTTGAATGTGCGTCCCAGGCGATCACCGGCATCGTAGAAGAGCTGGGCCCACTGCTTGAAGATGCTATCAAAATTAGCATGCTAACAAAATGGGGTAGATAAGATACAATGGGACGCTAAGGTAATGCATACTGGTCCTTGTCCACCTCGATAGCCGGGTTATCACAGCGCAGCGCAAGCCTCGGCTCCATATGCTGAAACCAACCTCCTGGCTTGAGGAATTTGAAAAGCTGGCCATAGAGCTTGGGCCAGTCATCAATACCCCCGAGGAGCGAGCGGACGTGAATAAAGTCAAATGACTCTGGTTCAAAGGTCCAATCGAGTTGTGCATCATCGATCTGAAAGCTCACGTTTGGTGGAACCCAACTAGGCTGCGTGGGCGAGATGTCAATGCCGATGATGTGTGCCGAGGGGAAGAGATCTGCCATGTCACTGTCACTGTCAGGATAGTAATGATGATCTGTCCGTTGCCTGTACTCACATTGCCCAAATACCTGAGCCTGTACCCACGTCGAGGATCCTCTACAGGGCATCAGCATGAAGTAGAATATCAGGTTACAATTGATCTTGCCTGCGGGTTGTCTCCAATTGATGGGAGGTAAAGCTTATCATCCAAGAGCATGGTGATCCAATGGTGACTATTAGCATGAGTTAGCAAGATCCTGTGGGTTGCCAGTATCTACCATACCTAATGTCAAATCCTTCCACGTGCTTCTCATCATTGGGAGCCCTACTACGATTTCAGTATATCAAATGGTAGATATCCCTGGCCTCTGTACCAGTATTCCGTCGTCTTGGAAGATTGAAAAGTTCTCCCATGGACGTTGCGATACTCGAGAATATTAGAGGTGATGGATGCCGTGGACTCGACCCGGCTGCATTTCCATACTTGTCAGCACATTCCACATATCCCTTCCAGATGTTTTCACGGATGTTCGACCTTTGGGAGTCCATGGCAGAGTCTCCATCGTCACCACCGACAATGTCGGGGTCCTAGCAGACGCAGGTTAGCCCTGAAAAGAACAGGTTCAAGGTGTCCAGAGAGCACCGTAGTCGGATTATCACTTACAAACTCGATTCTCTCTTCCGCTTCTTGTTGATCAGCCATTGCAAGCCGTGCCTTCCTTTCTTTGCCGTTGATTCACCTGATAAACCAACATGCAGCAGTGAGGGGAAGATTGCATGTTGGTTGTTGGAATGCAGTTGGAGTACCCTTCAACATCGATGACTAAACACCTGTGAGGTCATGGAAGAAAAACAGATTCGGAATGTGAATTTACGCCATCCTTGAGTTGGTTGGTTGAATCTGATCGATCTGCGTCCAGTGTCGCGGCTTCATTTCAACATCAAGGCACAGACAACGATAGAGTAAGGATTTTCGTGTTGGCAGTTCCTACAATTCATCTTATTGGTATCAATTCAAGTAAATACTTTGAGTTTATTGTTTGTGAACACAGTTCTACAAATACAGCGCAATCAAATATTTACATGCGTAAGCCCACATCCAGCCACTAGTCCCAAAAGCTCCAGCCTCGGCGAGCCAAGCCCAGAAGATATGTTGACATGACGAATGCCTCTTAAGAGGCAGCCTTGTCCAAGTTACCATCAAAGGTATCGTCCTTGAAGGGCACAGTAGCCTTGCCAAAATCGGCGGCGTTCAGCGCATCACGAGAAGCCTGGGGGATCGCATCCCAGTCAACCAAATCAAGATCGCGGCCAAGAGTGTCGGTGAACTGAAGCTCGTGGTTGGTAGGAAAGTTGGTAAAGTACTCGACCTTGGGTCGATCGCCCTCACGCTGAGGAGAGTTGGTCTTCTTGTAGCTACCGTGACCAGAGGCCGCAGCGCTGACGAGTTGGGCGCCAGCGCTGTCGACAAAGACGACGACGTTCTCCCAGTCGTGACGATGAGCACCGGTCGAGACGCCGCTGTTGGGCATGTCCTTGGGCATGTACCAGGCGTACATGATGGCGATTTGTCCGTTGCGCTCCTTGGCGCGAACGTAGGTCTGTCCCCTGCCCTGATCACGGCAACCGCCAGTAGCGCTTCCAGTGTCCTGAAGACCACCGCTGAGACTGCGTTAGTTGCCATTTAACCGTACAGTGCGGGTTTACATACCTGGTGTTTCCATCGGCGTCTACAGCAGGATAAGACTGGCAGCCGTGGGCAATGTGCAGGAATGGCTCAAACTTCTTGATGGCATCACCAATAGCGCCAGTCTGAACCGTCTCTGCAAAAGGCTGGACAGCATCATGGCCGATGACGGCGCGGGACTGAAGAGTGCGAGCCAACAAGGCCTCGAAGGGGAACGCGTGCACCTGTGCAGCGAGGGTGGCAAGAGCAAGGATCGACTTGGTTTGCATTTTGACAGTGAATGTGGTGAGTTGAAAAGAAGGTATTTGATCAACAAATAGTGTAGTAAAGGAAGGTGTTTTTGTGAAAGACAGTGATGAATCTGGTGCTGAGTGTGATCAACTACGAGAACGAGACTGCTTCTTTATAGCTTTTGGGATGATGATATCTCTCCTCCAAAGACTCAGTATTTCCTGTTAAGCTCCTGTTAAACTCAGTTTCCAAATCCATTTGACGATTTTAAGTTCAGGGTCGTTTCAAATGGATTCATGGAGTTTATGCATTTCCAAACTCGCATCTTGACCTCGTGTTTGTCACCTGCCAGGCCATTAAGCCTCGTCCAATAGGATAATTTGGGCTCTCGAGTCCTCTCGAAACAACCTTCCGAAATCGGTCACGAGGTCATGGGTCCATCTCCTATCCTGGCAGCACGTTTTAGATGAAGCTGAATCTGGACTAAGTTGACAGGGATGCCGCGGGAACTTTTGCGAATCGTACGTAATTCGACATGTTCGAATACCACCACATCAAACCATCCTTGCCCTGGTCACTATTGATATGCTCGAGACGTTAATGATTGTAAGGTTTACTTGGCATGCATATATGTCGATTCGAATCAGCCCTTGTCGGGTGATACGGTAAGGCCGAGACCTCCGAACGCCCGAGGAACCGGGGCTTTGTAAGTTGGCTCACCGTTGACCGTAAACTCTAACTGCCTCTTCAACTCGTCATTGGGTAATAGATGCCTCGGTGGTGGATATCAAGAGTTTCAGCTTTGCCATGACGGCAGAGCTGTACCGAACCCAAGCCTTGGCAGGGGTAGGCTCAGTTTCGACCAGTCTCACTACCTTTAATGAGCCTACGTCAGTGATGATTAAACATTCGGTGAACTGATGTAGAAGAGATGACAAATTAAGCTTAACAACTCCAGGTGTGCCGTGGGATGCCTGCCGGGAGACTCACAACTCAAGGCAACAATGGTGACGTCTTCACACTGAAGAAGCCTTGTGTGCCATCTCCACTCTCGCATACTAGCAGAACGTTAGGACCCAGAGTTGCTTGTCAATTCGTCGTCCTCGGCTTCATGAAGTAATACTCTTCGGCCTGTTCAGCATCCAAAGTCCGGTGTGGTGTATCGGTTATCATTCCGCGTTTTCACCGCGGCGAGCGGGGTTCGACTCCCCGCACCGGAGCTTTTTGAGGCGCGTACACGCTCTCGTCTTTTTGTAGGAGATGGGGTTAGACAGCGATCTCAAGCTGGTGCACTGGTTGACTCTTCCATCAGTGAGGTTAGAGGAAGGGTTATGCTGGTCTTGCGGCGGAAGCTACTTTTTGGTCTGGCATAAGAGTTAACGTTAGATGGTGGCATCAAGAGAAGAGTACGCATGTTTGCTAAACACCACAATGAGAAGAGCAGCTCTGGTAATTTGTTTTAATATTCAAGCTTTGAACTGTAGGGTACCTCGTTGTCCAAACTTTACTTCATTGTAAGAAAAGTCTCATAACATTTGTGAACAGACGGACCAACACTGGGGGGTTAGAGGCAGTCACAGACCCAAACAACTAACAGAAGCAATTTTCATCGCCATTTGGAAACCTGCTTAAAGCTAGAGACTACAGCTTGAGTAATTCCGTAGACGTAAAAACAAGGAACCAAAAAGAAAGGTAAAGACAAACATCTGTCTTGTCTTTGGTCTTACGCTTTCGAGTTTACTCTTCACCATAGGGTAGGGTTCATGAGCTTTCAGTCCCACCATTGCGCCTGGAGCGTGCGTGATGATGTCATTCATAGACTACCACAAAGAACATGATTCGCATTCCAGCCCTGATCCAGGTCATAAATACCGGGAACAAAAGAAAGACCAAAAAGATTGATCACGCTGGGGATCGAACCCAGAATCTTCTGATTCGTAGTCAGACGCCTTGCCATTGGGCCACGCGACCTTCTTTGTTGGATGGAAATTTCGGTCAGTCACGAGCTCAAGTGGCGCGTGCGTTTCAGCGCCATCTCCGCCATATCGATGTCACCACACTCAACCAGGGCCACGTCAATAGGAACAAGGCATCTATCATTGACAAGAGTACAACATATTACATCCATCGTAAAGAATGGGGCCTATTAGCCTTGGCCTGCCCCAGCCTCAATTGTTCAAAGTCCACTCTCTCACATAGAGCTCCAGTCCATCATAATCCACACATTCCCGTTCCTAACTCTCGTCCACTCCCCATAGACAGCCGTATGTCAACTGACAGTCTCACCACAAATGCCCACCATGCATGCAATCATCCTCGCTCGAATGCAGGTGCATACAGACAACATCAGACAAATCGCACCTAAGCAGTCGGCTCAGCTGATGGCTGTCCAGACCCATCCTGAGTGCTGTTGATGGGTTGCGCGCTCTGTCCAATCTGGTGTACAATATCCTTAAGAGAGAACCCTCTTGCCTTGAGCTCGCCATCCAGAGCATCAATAGCAGGGGCACCAAGCACCACAAGGCTTCGAAGCATGCCAAGATGTTTCGCCTGCAGGTTGAGTGACCTCCCAGCCATGCTTAGCTCCCGTAGCTTGGGTCGAGTCTCTTCGATGAGAATCAAGGCAGGCAGGGCAGCCTGTCGAGCTTGTTCGACTTCGATGGCGGCAGCGTTGCGGTCGGATTCGGCCTGATGTAGCTCGGTGGCGTTGACGGTGGTCTTGTCCCAGTGTGCCTCTTGGAGCGCCTGAAACTTCTCTTCCGAGATCTGCTCCCACGTTTCCTTCGCATCATCGAGGGTCTTCTTACAGTCCCGGAGCTTCTGTTCCTCCGCCAGCAAAACCGACATCTTTTCCTCCATGGCAGCAAGGTTGGCTTGAGCAGACTTGTGGCGGTCCAACGCCCCCCGGTACGGTTCAGTTCGCAGCTTGAGCGACTCGGAAAGTTGAGCAAACTCTTGGCCCATTTCGATGTGTTGGCGCTCTATGGCTCGGATATACATGGCCAGAGCTTCGAGGAAGGCGGGTGTAGCGTGCATGAGGCTCGATCGACTTGCGAACTAATCACTCTGGTTAGCTGATGACACCAGCGACATCAAGCAAACATGCAAGGGATCTGAGAGTAACTAACCAAATCTTGTGAGGCTGCTCCATCATCATGGCGAGCACGCTTGGTCGGGCAGACGCCTGTGGGCGTCACAGACCGTTCTCGCTTCTTGATGTTGGGGCTCTCAGCCGGGATCGCTGTAGAGCTGGCCAGAGGGCGGGCGTCAGGCACGGTGCTGGGGGCGAACTGAGCGGAAGATGCCGCCTGCGAGGGCTTTGGCATCATGAAAGGCAGCTGACTTTGGACTGGGATCGACTTCTCGGGTTCGGGCTGGTGGTGATCCTTGTCGACAGCGAATTCTTCCTCGTCATCGGTTCCGGCGACTTGTTCCACTCGCTTTTTGTCCTTCCCTTCTTTCTGCGTTGCATCGTTGGCCTTGTCGTTGGGTTCCGCCCGCTCGCCTTCGCCAGCATCGTCATTGGGAGCAGGGTCGGCGACCTTTTGGGCGATGGCGCTTCTGCGTCTGGAGGCTGCGATCGCCTTGAACTGCGGGTCGACGAACTTGTCCTTGGCAGCCTTGACATCGCTCCCTCGAAGCGAAAGATCGGAATCGTCTTCGTGAGAAGCAACACAGTGGCCAAGAAATGCTTTGACATCGGCGATCTCGAACTCTGGGTTGGCGTCGGCGTGCTCAAGAACCATGGCTAGAGTGCTCAACATGGTGCATCCCTACTGCTTCGGAAGAAACTCTACCAGCCATTCCCAGGGCTTCTGGCCTATGACGGCCTCGATTCGCTTGAGGGAACGCTTCTGTCGCTCGGTGCCCTCGAAGTTGTCGGGCCATTCACCGTTGTCGGGGTCCGAGGGCCCGGGGGAGGCAGATGACGGCCCGGTATGGGCTTTGGCATCGCACTTTGTCATCTTGTCCGAGTATCACAGCGCAGTTTGGTGTGTCGAGTGAAACCTTGAGTGCAAGCAGTGAAGAAGCGAAGGTTGGATTGTTGACATTTGGTGGAGTGAAATGCGATAAACAAAAGGTGGGGCCGTTTAACGCGTCGCGGCTCACGCGAATGCACGTGATCCAGCTGCCCCACCCGGGCGATCGGCGTTTGTACCGCGGCATAACTGTATCAATATGAATGATAAAGCATGCATAAAACAAGCACAAGATGTGAAAGGAGTTTGCTGATTGAACTCCGAAATCATTCGACCCTCGACGTCAAGCATTATTTCAAGGTCTGGCTATGGGACAGATCCACGGGCAGGTAAGCCGGGAATGCACCAACCTTCCATCTTCAGAGGGCGGTTGGTTATAAGAGGTTATATCAGAAGTTGTTGAAGCAAGATCTATCATTGATGCACTACTTAATGTTGAGAAATGATTCTCCGTTTCGATAAAGAATCATTTCCAGTTCTTGTTCCTTTAACAATCCACTAGCTCGCACTTGCTCGATCCATTCAACCCCATCCTGCATCCTGAGAAAAGGATAGTCGATGCCAACCATGATTCGATCCAACTTGGTATTCTGAAGCATACACGCCAACGGGGCAACGCCTTTCAACAAATTCGTAGTGAACCAAAAGTTCTCGGCATATACCTGTTGGAAGCTTGGATTTATCGGGCCCCAATTTGCGCTAAACCACTGGACACGTTCCAGGAAGAAAGGTAGAGACTCCCCAAAATGTCCTAGTAGAATCTTCAGATTTGGGAAGCGGGCAAAAGCTCCTGCCGCGTAGAGTCGGAGAACATGTATGGCAGTGTCGAAATGCCACCCGAAAGCGAAATGCGACATGGCCATACTCGGTTGGGAGGAGTAGCTCCCCTGGTACCAGTCGGCCATGGTGCTTGGAGGCATCGTTGGATGTAGGTAGGTGAAGAGGAACATCAAGCTCCTCGAGAGTCGCCCAAAAGTTGTTGTACTCGGGTCCCTCGTAATATCGTCCTCCCGTGTGATTGTCCACCAGGGCGCCTTTGAAGCCGAGCTCATTGATGCAACGCCGAAGAGAATGGGGTCTGCGAGTCTTTATTTGATCTATTAGAGACATATTTGTATGCCCCTAGCTTAGTCCTATAGACTTAGCTCCGCCAGATAACCGCTGAGTTGACTTGTCATCTGTCTTGGGTGCCTTGTAGACCAGCTGCACTTGACGTTCATCTTCTGCTCTCACACGGTGCGACAAGTGTGCATCTATTACCTCTCCGAGACATTGCGGAGAATGTTGACATCGACGAATGAGTGGTGTTTTGGCAAGGCCAATCATTATATGCTGTTAACCACTCGTCCGTCTAGGCAACACTGACTGCATAATGAGGCGTTCAATGTTTGCGCCTCTGACACTGACCTCTCAGCTGATCAACAAACAATTCCAAGGCAATCATCAAGAAGACATGAGATCGAATTTTATAAAAAGCTTCGGATACCCAGCTTGGTCTTGGAACTTCAAACTGCATCCCTCACTAAACAATTCACTCTCCCTTTCAACTTCCAACCCCCCCCTTTGCCTATTTGGCTGTCTATCACTTGCAACTATGTCTACTGAAGCCCCTGCCGCTGATTCAGCTTCTGCTGCCCTGCCAGAGGAGTTCATATCAGCACCGGGAGCGGGAACTACACACTGATCGGCAATAATCCTGCTGTGCCCAACTCTCAGAGCGGGTGGAAATGGTGTCATAAGTGTTACGGCCTTGCCTATTCCAAGGCTTCCTCTGCTGGAACCTGCCCTCGTGGTGGTACACACGACCATGCTGGAAGTGCTGACTATGCCTTACCCATGAACGTGGGTTCTTCTGGAGGCCAGAACCAGTGGAGTTGGTGCAAGTGGTGCCAGCAGCTGTGGTGGAGTGGAAATGGCCAAGGACGCTGTAGTCATTCTCCCGTTGGTGGACACTCCAAGGATGGATCTGCAGACTACACACTTTCGCATGAACAGAATTAGACAAGGTCTTTGTAGATTCTCAGCTGAGTCAATTGATGAAGAGACATGAGCCTGAGTATCTGAATGTGCCCCTCTGTCGTTCTTGAGTTCGTAGTTGGAGGTTCAACTTGCGATCATTCCGTGAATATGGAAGCAGAGAACAGGTTGCCCACTTCAAAACCAGGTTCAAGTGGCGGCAAATCACGAGATGAAATACTTCATGTGAGCGAGAGTGCCAAGGCCGCTGACACCATGCCGTCACGGCAGAGGATAGGCCCAGATCGACCGACTCTGGGCTTGGCTTCAAGGGTACCTAGCAAAGAAAAGAGCCTCGTGAGCATATTGAGATTGCTTCAACACCCCTGCTGTTACAGATTGAACAGGTCGTGCCTTGTGAGTCGACATCCACAAGACACATCCAGATGGTTTCCTTTCTTGGGTGACTGGCCGACCCATGGAGCATGTTGATTGGACCATTTTCCACCTTTAAGAGTCTTAATTTCATTTCCCCCAGACTTTCCGGAACAACGGTCTCATTCTCCGACGGAATGGATCACCTCGCCGGCCCTGATGCAACCTCGGACCCTCAGCCTCCGGGCCCGAACTCGGTCTAGAGCGGGTCTAATCGGGCCATGAGTTCTGTGTTCTGAGGTTTTTAAGTAATTTCATTATAGTTCTTTTCAATAATGGCTATCTAACTTACCAATATTCGGACATTGTCACTCCGAGCCATTGTTGTGAGTCGATTACCAGTCTCCTTTCGGGCTAAGGACCTCCGGGGGTCTTCCCTCCTCAAGTTCAATGGAGAAATCCTTCCGGAATAACTCACGGCTGACGGGCCGTAGCGATGTGATGGTGAAGTCAAGAGAAATTGAATGAAACGGTAGAGTGGGAAGAACGGCTTGGCCAGAGGGTCTCACGATGCTTTCTAGTTCGCCCAGAGCCTTGCTGAAGAAAACGTTTGACTCTTGGCGGATATAAGAGCGGCTTGTTTCTCCTTTCATGATGGCCTCCTCAGCTCAGCATACTCCAGCTCAGCACACTCATTCAAAGTATTTGCCAACAGGAACTGAACACCATGCGCTATCTCCTCCCCCTTAGTGGCCTCACTGGTCTCGCTCTGGCCCAGAACGGAGCTTGGCAGCAATGCGGAGGCCAAAACTGGAGCGGCTCTACCACTTGCATCTCTGGTTACACTTGCAGCTTCATTAACGACTATTACAGCCAGTGTGTGCCAGGTTCTAACCCCAACCCGCCTTCTACTACCCTCTCTACCGTCACTCAGCCAAGCTCTTCTCCCACCAACAACCCCAACCCAGGAACGGGCAAGTTCGTTTGGGTCGGTACCAATGAGGCTGGTGGTGAGTTTGGAGAGGGTAACCTGCCAGGCACTTTGGGCAAGGATTACATCTTCCCCGACACTGCCGCGATCGACGTAAGTGTTGCCATTGAAGATGTGTTGCAGTATGCGTACTAACATGGCTCGATAGACTCTGATCGGTCAGGGATACAACACCTTCCGTGTGCAGCTCAAGATGGAGAGGCTGACGAGCACCTTGACCGGTAGCCATAACCAGGCTTACCTTGATGGGTACAGCAAGGTTATCAACCATATCACCTCAAAGGGTGCCTATGCTGTTCTTGATCCTCACAACTATGGCCGTTTCTTCGGCAACGTCATTACCGACACTTCCGCTTTTCAAACCTGGTGGAAGAACTTTGCCGCCGTCTTTAAGAACAATGACCACGTCATCTTTGACACCAACAACGAGTACCACAGCATGGATCAGACTCTTGTTCTCAAGCTCAACCAGGCTGCTATCGACGGTATCCGCTCCACTGGCGCCAAGCAGTACATCTTTGTTGAAGGCAACCAGTGGTCTGGTGCTTGGTCCTGGCCCGATGTCAACGACAACATGAAGGCTCTCACCGACCCCGAGGACAAGATTGTCTACCAGATGCACCAGTACCTGGACTCTGACAGCTCTGGCACTAACGAGGCCTGTGTTTCCTCCACCATCGGCGCCGAACGTGTCAAGGCAGCTACGGCCTGGCTCAAGAAGAACGGCAAGGTCGGCATCATTGGCGAGTTTGCCGGTGGAGCAAACAGCCAGTGCAAGGCAGCCGTTCAGGGTATGCTCGACTATCTCGAGGACAACAGCGATGTCTGGAAGGGCGTTCTCTGGTGGGCGGCTGGTCCCTGGTGGGGAAACTACATGTACAGCTTTGAGCCTCCAAGTGGAACTGGCTACCAGTACTACAACTCTCTTCTGAAGAGCTACGTCTAAAATTTGGGGGCGATGAACTGTTCTGAGGGCAACTATTGGTGCAGTCGTCTGATGTTGTCAACCAGAGGCGACACTGCAGTATGAAAGATGCTGGTAGACAGATTGATTAGGGATAAACAAAGATTGAGGGACTTCGGTTACCACTTACCAGACAAAGCTTACACGTTGCGAATGTAACTCTTGACGATCGAGGGACTCGTCACCATCACTAGATAAGCCACCATCAAACAGACCTCTTGACAAGGGCATCTCTTTGCACCTGTGTGTTTGTGCTTAAGCGACGTGTGGTGTGGGGCGGGCGTCAGCATCGTTAAGCGCGACTGTTGTACCCTGGTTTATCCTGCTGACGTTGATGTTGGTTGCGAAGGGGGGAAGGGGGATGCTTGGCTGAAGTCTCTTATCTGGGGGTCAAAGCCATGAAGATGGCAATGAAAGGTCTGAACGAAGGGGCCTGTGTCTCCAAAACGGATATCCCGGACTGATATTGACCTCTTTCATAGAGAAACAGCAAGATGGGATGGCGTTGACCTTGAAACAGCCGCAATATGGGGCGAATGGGCTAACTGGAATCGTCGTCGTTGACGCTGGCGTGGCTGGGTCTCTAACCGAGTGTGCCAATCGCCATTCCTGCTTTGCAATCCCTCGGACTTTTCAGCACTAAAATCTCACCTTACATTAGGAACCCCTGCAACAGTGTGCGTCCCAGTTTCGTGGCAGCTCAGCACTAAGCAAATGGCCTGGGATAAGTATCTGTCAGACCCGATCAACTTGGGTTAATCTTGATCTTTTGTTTCTTTCTCGTGCTAGACCCGAAATCTCCAGTGGCCCTGGGAGACCTCGTCCGAAGCCATGGCACAGAACGTGACGACAGCCTCAAATGGCTTCCTCTCCTTTGTGGCAGAGGACGTTAAGCAGTCGCCCGCAAGGTACCTGACTGGGTTGGCGTTGCTTTTGTCTGCAATCTTTCTACAGAAGCTCTCATCTCCCGGTCGCGACGAGAGGGAGCCCCCTTTTCTTAAACCTAGCATTCCTATTATAGGCCATATCATTGGGATGATAAAGCACCATGGCGGCTATTTCCAGATTCTATTGTAAGTAAAGTGGAAGAATACTCTGATTCGTTGTTGATGGGCAAACGGGCTTGAGCTGATGGACCAAATTTAGTGACAAGACCCGCGCTCGAATCGGCACCTTGCCTATCCTTGGCGGAAAGTTGTACATCATCTTTGAGCCTTCCATGGTCCAGTCAGCCTACAGAAACAAGAATCTGGCCTTCGAGCCCTTTGCTGTCGAGTTTGCTCAGAGAGAGCTCGCCATTTCAAATGAGTCAGCTAGAATCGTCCGAGAAACCAACCTCGTTCCCGATTTCTTCTCAGTCATCACCAAGTCAATGGCGGGAGAGTACACACATCGAATGAACGCCAATGCTCTAAAATACGTATCAAAGGAGCTCGAGGCCTTGGGCAGCAACGAACCTTCGAAGATTCCTAACATGTATCTCTGGGTGCGAGATATGATGACCATTGCCACGACGGAGGCTTTGTACGGGCCTGATAACCCTATAAAGGGACACCCCGGTCTGCAGGAAGATCTCTGGTAAGTCTCAACATTGGGATACTACTCAATAACGACTGAAGCTTGGGTTGCGCTGACTATCGTCCAGGACCTTTGAGGCTGGCTTGACTGGAATCTTGCTCAACGTTTTCCCGAGTATCACGGCACGAGCTGCTCACTACGCAAGGGCGAGACTACAGGCTGCTCTAGGGAAATACTATGGCGCCATGAAGGATCAACACGAGGATGCAGCTCAGATTGTCAAGAGCCGAGCGGGAGTGCTTCGCAGCTATGGTATCCAGGGCGCGGAAGTCGGCACCTTTGAGCTTGCGTTGCTCCATGTGTCGACAGCCAACACCATTCCTACACTCTTTTGGTTCATGGCGCAAATTTACGCTCGACCTGAACTTGTGTCTCGCCTGAGAGACGAGGTAGTACCTGCGGCGCAATA